ATATAGATGGGCGAGGAATATGATACGTTGACAGAAGATGACACCACCATGTACAAAGGGTGTCGATATGTACACAGTCGACCAGAGTTGGCGAGGTGGCGCCCTGTATGGGAGAATCGAAACGTGCGAACAGCTGTCGAAACTACGTGGCGGAAATAGAGAGAGTTTAATAGAATCCTAGGTGAGCTGTCATATCCTTGCTTAAAGGGAATTCTTGAACTAGAATATAGGAGTAGTCCGGCGGGGGGGGGACCTCCCTCTAGGAGCCTGGAAAGGCACATCTATCCAGGTTGAGGCTAAACCGGTAGTACAAATCCGAAGAATAGGTCCTGCAGATCATGAAAATGGGTTTGTCCAAAGGGATTCGTCCAAGCAAGGCCCTGCGGAGACCCTTTCATTCTAGTCAACTATGGCCATCAAACACGCAGTGACACTCGCGATGTATAGTTTGGGATCGGGAAGGTAATATGACACAGCGCTTGTATGGCAAACTTGGTTGTGCTACTGCAGCTGCATGTTGCCGTCTGCGATTCGGTCCCTTTTTTTTCCATTGGGTTTAGGTATTGTGGCAGGGACAATGCTGGCCAACCACAGACCAATCGCCACCTGAACTGTTCCTCCCTGATTGGCTTTTCTCCTTTTTGTTCCCCTGATATATGAATGCAAGGGGGGGGAGAAAGAGAAAACGTCAGGCCGCTCTGTATTCCGTAATTCGTATTCCGCGGATGTGAGGTATCAATTAAGCAAATCGAGCCAAAAACTTAACTTAGCGTGATGTTTCTCGGGATAAAGCAAGAGTTTAGATCGGGGCTTTGCAGATCCGAGTTTTTAGGGATCCTCCAGACGATTAGAGACAGTCGATCGTGGGCGATCTTTGGGAAAAAGGTACATGTAGATCGGGGAAATGAGAGAGGGTGGGATAGCTCACACTAGATTCTTGCACTATTGGAAACAAATAGGGTGATAGTCAGTAATGTAATTTTCACTTAAAATCATTCATGTACACCATAGCATAAATCACAGCCGGTGGATGATGCTCCATACGGAGGATATGGACTAACATCACTATTGATCTATAACATTTAGCATCTTGGACGTGATCAAGAGACTTGGTTCAATTAGAAGAGAATAGACTTGGGAATGATTTATCATTTCAACTATCATTATTCCTTTGCCTTGAATGTCCTACCCATTACTTACACAAGGTAGAACACCATCCCCATCTCTACAATTTTCCTGCATTAATCTCCGAAAGAAACGCTCTTCTTCACGTCGGTATGCAGTGTTCAACTTTATGGTGCCCAATCTCCCGAACTAAAAAAAAAAAGGTGCCAGACCCACGCGACAAGACATGTCAAGTTTTTCTCTTTTATTGTCTCAAATATGCCAATTTATATATATCCGCTTCCAAGACCACAAAAGAAACCTTAAGCGAATAACAGGCAGGTTATCTTCTACAAGTCACAGCAAACATGTTCGTTCCAAGGCCTACTTTTTAGCCTTTGGGCTGGAATCGGGAATTGACCTGGAGATAGTCTGTGCTATGTACATGCACAACGTTTGAATGTGTGGTGGCCTGTCTAATGATAAGGACTCCCCACATTTGACGGTCGCCTTCTCGGGGTGCGCGAACAAAGACAAGTCCATCTCTTCATATCCAGCCGAATTTCCAGCCGAGTGTCCTAAAAAAAAATCGTTATGGATAATGTTAACTCAAAATGTTTGATCATTTTGCTTGTGGCTTTCTGGTTCTACAAGGATCAATGACTTAAATCGATGTTCCATGAAAAGATCTATGAGACTCCAGCTTAAGGCTTTGGCTCAAGGCCTTGGTATTGTATATATCCTGCCTTCACCTGCTGCAAGGGCGCAAAGCCCACGACCACCCTCGCCGAAGGGGCGTACCGATGGGTCTATCGGGCGGTGGTTGCAGTTGTCGCAGATCGAGACTGTCTGTGGAAAGATAGACTTCGGGGTATTGATGTCCGAGCTGGTGTGAATCGGATGCGGGGTCCACCGGTGGCTGATGGATTAAAGTCCGCAAAAGCCCTAGGCTCCAGCCTAGGTCATCGTACCATTCTATTGGATGGATTTGGGTTTGCTCATAAACCTTGGCTGGACAATTCATGGGCCCGATCCATACGCGATCGCTTCTTTTAACACTTTGCTCACACCGGATGATGCACGGCCCAGCTCACCCCCTTCCTCTCTGGCGCTTTTGATTCCACGCTCGATTGCTGACTGGAAACGAGTTGAAAACACCCGGTATCTGTCCTCACGGGTTTCGTACATTTCACCTTCCTCGTCGCGCGGCTTTCCGAACAGATTCAGATATGCGAATGGAGTAGATGAATCCGAAATCATGTGCTGGGCGGTCTGGCAAAGAGGGAACGGCCAGTCGGCACTCTCGTCATCATTAGACATCTCACTATCGGCACCGCCAGTAGAAGGTTTCCCGATCCCCGCATCCAAAAACATGGCCAGAGCCCCAAGGGTCTTGACCATAGGCTTGCCCTGGCTGCCGGATTTTCCAAATGAAGCCCGGCTTGAAGACCACCGCGATGACTCTTCGGTGTGCCAACCTAACACAGACAAGAAACAGTTGAGTGTTTTGATCCATCCTCCGGCGCAAGAAACTGCCGATTCCCCGGCCGCCTCGACCATCCATGATAGAATATCCACCGCAGAACTACGGATGTCCGCTGCAAGATGGGTCATTCCAGCCCGAACATAGGGTAGGAGTTGTGCCACATGGTCTTCGACATCGCCCGGCGGCAGGGTCCGCAAGAGCTTGAGGAGCTGAGTCCGTACGCTGGTGGATCCATCGAGGATGAGCGGCAGTAAAGATGGTAAAATAACGCTCACTGGTTGTGGCAGAGGCGAATTAACTGGTCGAGAGGAAATCGTGGTAGTCAGATAAGCGAGCGAGTCGCGTCGTTGACTGTCGGACTTGGCGGAGAGGAGAGATAAGTTATGCGTGAATGTGGCGTTTGAAGTTGGGGCGGAAAGGTGGAGGGATTGTTGTGTGAGGACAATTGCTAGGAAGTGTGAGCATAAAGACATATCAAGTAGACGAAAGAAAGAGCACATACACTTCGATTTGAAACTGGTATCGGTGTAGTTGTCGGGCTTCGCTTTGGTTTTCCCAACCTTGAGTTTAGGTTTCTGCCGAGGTTAGTAGGTTGAACAAGAGAAACGGACTTTGACAATTCTAACCTGGAAGTCCTTTTGCTTATCCTTCTTTCTTTTAGAGCTAGAACCCATGGCTGCTCAAAGTCAATTGATTGTAGAAGATGGATGGCTTTCGGGGATTCTTTTTTCGCTCTGATAATCACACGTGACTTGTCATATCAGTTGTTGCCTGAGGCTTTCAAACTTCCCAAACAGGAAGTAGATCCAACTCAAAAATGCAAGCCTACTAACAATACACAATCGGCATCCATTCGCTAAAAAGGTTGGCACACCTAAGAGCAGTCTACACTTGGTACGATCATAATCAGATACTGACCGAAGTTTTCAAAATTAGACGTTAAACAAACGGATATGAGAAGGAATGGTGCAACCAACCCTCCCAATGTATGTGTGAACATTTCACTTGAAAATTTTATTCTATCTAACATCTCATTCTTAATTGGCTTTCAAGAGGCACTCTAGGGCTTAGCTTGAACCTGTTAAATCCGTTTAGCAATATCAAAACATGAAACGACTGCCATGATCAGCAACTAACCACGATTCCCTCCCCCGAGGGCCTTAGCCACCTTCTCCTGCACCGACTGTAGAATAGACTTATCCCTCTCCAGGCCATAATCTCGCTCTTCTCTTGCACCACCTTGTCCAAATTGCCAGATATTATCGGGTGTATCCGACGAGCGACGAGATGTCGCCTTCATATCTCCTGCAGAATATAATCAGTCTTATAAACTGGTACTCGAGAAACCACGCGTGTTTCAAACTTCAACTCCAGATCAGAAGTCATTCATTATGCGCATCGAACCATATACTATCACGGGCGGAAATACGCACCGGGTTGGAGCTGTTCGGATATCTTCTCGCGTGCATGACTGGCAGACTCATGCACGCGGCCGGAGACTCTATCTGTGGTATTCGTTTTGGTAGTGAATGGCTCCGAGGCTTCTGCGATTTGTGAGTTGAGTTCTGCATGGCTGATGGAAATCCACGAGATGGCTACTCACCGTCCGTGTTAGACATGTCGCTCTGTTGAAACTATCAGCTTTGCCATGATATTGTTGACTAAAAGAGGTTCCATACTGTCTTCCTAGTTATCTTGGTGTGTATGTAGTTGTTGGCTCAATACACTGCGAACAGACTTACGTTTGCCGTATAAGTAATCTATCTCGAGGAAGCTCGAGAAGTAGTACCGGCCGACTATTCGTCAACATGACGTGGATTGTTTCCCCGGCTTGATATCCGGGGGTGCAGCTAATTGTGATGTCATTCTTCGCTTGGCCTCTAGTTGATGGTGGGTGGAAAGAAAATAGAACTTAGGACCCAAGTACACCCGAAGGTAATAAGTTTAATGTCGAGAGAAATGAATGGAGAAAATCATGATCATATTGAAGTCCAGGTCTAGAAGTAATCACGCAAGGATGACAAGGTCTGTTAATCAAAGCCTGCTCAGCAGCGCAAGAAATCCAAGAATAGATGGGGGAAAAAGTCGAAAAAAAGACGGGAGAGAGATGCGCACTTCTGCCCGGCTCCGAGCTGCGAGACAACAAAGGAAACAAAAAAAACCATACGAAAATAGAAAACATAATGGGCAGCTCGGGTCCCGGACAGACGCGGTTGTATCAATCAAATCAGCAAAAAAAAAGACAGAAAAGCACACGTGACATAGTAATCAGGATAGACATGGGAGTAACAAATAAGCCACGACCGCCAGGGACATAAGTCGTGTAATACGTGAGATTATAGGGGTGGCTAGCCCCGTCACACATCGGCAAAATTCAGAAGAAAGAAAAGGATCATGTGGTAGAAGCCAACTACAGACTCATTGTCAGCCACTCCCATTCCTGGCTTGCACCCTGCCCACCGGCAATACTGTGGTTCGCCGGGTTTGCGGCAGCGGGTGGTGCCATCGCCGGAGCTAATGGTACGACTTTGGATCGGCTCGCGGGAGCGGCTGACTTGGGGCTATCGTCTCCGTCTGGTTCGGATCCAGTTGGTGCCTTTTCAAGTCTGCGCTGCCGTCTGGGTGCCACTTGCACACCGGCACGAGCTTGAGCGACGCCAGCTGGAGGGCCAGACTTGGGTGGGGCAGCGGCAATTGGCACAACACCGGGTTTCCCCAACGTGCTGGATCCAGGAATCGAGGGCGGTGACTCAGAATTATTGATGCGGGACGAAATCGATGTGGATGGGGTATGCTGAATGGAGTTTTTGCGGGTAGATTTCTTAGATAACCGAGAAGCGCCAACAGCAAGCGTGTTGGCGCTGCTACGGTTCCGCTTCTTGATCACGTCAGTCTTGAGCGAAAGTGGCCGGACAACACCGTGGAGTTTCAAAAAGAGGCCACATGCATTGCATAGAGGCTGACCCTCTGGATTGCGTCTCCACAAAGGGGTGGTCTGAGTGAAACAGTTGGTACAGGTGGTCGGTCCCGCATTCGGGTCACCGTTTTTAGACCCACCAGGACTGCCTGGTCGAGACGGCACTCCATTGCTGAGACCGGACTCTGGAGGAGTGCTTGGTGAGGGGTGGTTTGTTGGAGGCCCGCTGGCCGAGCCATTCAAGCTCTGACGGAGCAACGCTGCAGCATTGGGGGTTGATGCTGTGCGAGGAACCTTCCCGTAGCGACGAGGATCCTGGTTTTGATTACGAACCTCACTGACTGAAGCAGCAGACCCGTGCGTACGGCCAAGAGTGCCTCCCTGGTTCCAGTCGGATGAGCCATCTATCATATCTGTGGATCCTATCGTAACATGCTTGCGGTGCTGACCGAAGCCTGGTACCGACTGTATCGATCCGGGGAAGCCTCCGTCCCAATGAAGACCAGCGCTCATTTCACCAGACTCATCCAGAGAGACAAATTCATTTGGCATGGCAATGCCCCCGCGTTCACCAAAGTTGCCATCGTCATCCTCATTGTCTGAATCTCCACCAAAGGTAAACATGCTGCTAGCGGGTGCTGTTGTGGAGAACCCGCTGTGCCCAAGTACCTGGGACGGGTTGATATGCTGCGGTTGTGGCACCTGAAATCCAGACCCATGGGTAGTTGGTGGCCCTGCCACTGCGCTCCCTGAGCGAGATTCGCCGTTGGACATGCTGTACATGTAACGTGGTTGCAGCGAGGCAGACAGGTTCGATTGACGCTGCTGGATATAGTTAGGAATGCGGCGCTGGGCGTGAGATTCAGCAGAGGGCGCATCCGAAAAGAAAATCGACTGCTCCCCTTCATAAATCGCTTGCGGGGTCGACACAGTAGACTGATAGCCAGAAGGCGGGGGCGAGAAAAACTCCGTTGAGTTGAGCGACGAAGTGAGCGGCGTCTGGGCATATAGACTTGAGAAAGGATTTCCTGCAGTCATTGGAGATTCTGACGGGGAAAAATGGAAATTTTGCTGATAAGGCCCGGCGGAATTAATCCCATGGTCTTCGCTTATGCCATACGTATCCAACCCATAGGGAATGTGAGAGTGCGTGTGGTGGTGGTGTTGAGGTCTGCGCGGACCCACCGTGCCATTGCCGGAAAGAGAAAAGACCGAAGGTGGGTGATCGAGCGAGTAATCTGGAAGTGCTGCTGACAGTTCCGAGTGCTGCCCCATCATAGCGTTGGACACCGGGGGAACCAGCGGCGAGGCCTCGGCAGGCCGCTTCCGGGTTGGAACAGAAAGACCGGCGAAAAACTTCCGCTCATCGACGCTCGTTTTGCGGACTCGACGGGCGACGTATCCGAACTCGGAGTTTGTTCGCTGATCCTGAGGTGGGTGGGGGAATGAGGTGGCAGTTGACGAATCCATCATCGCATGGTCCTTGCGTGACTTGATAGGAATTGATCCAGTCGGCGTTGCTGTAAAGTGTCGATCGACAGGAGGATGCGAAGAGTGGTCGGCAGGCGAATCAAAGGGAACGATGAAGTCATCCAGATTCATAGGGTCTGGAGTGTCATCCAGATTCATATCGTGCGAAATGTCAGCGGCACCGTCGGGTGATACTTGGTCGGTTAAGCACATCTGCGCGATGCCACTCGGTGTCGGGCTTCGATTCTCCGAGGCACTATTCGGGACATCAGTAAATCAGCTATATGCCTGCAGATTCGCATGTGTTTCTTACCGAGCCTGTTGCTCCCGTTCTTTGCGCTTGAGATTCATGGCCATCATTCGCCATGTCAGATTCTCCATGCGCTCTTGGTTGGGTAACTGAGACTTTGTCCTAGTATAGAGTTTCCAAATCTGAGCGGCCAAAGGATCCTTCCTTTGCATCTCATCGGGGCTGTCGCCACGCGAAGCACCGCTTGTCCATTCGGGAAAGATGGAGTTGCCGAGAACGCCATCATTGGCGTTGGAGGACTCAGAGGGACTGAAGGGAGAGTTAAAGGAGAAGTCGTCGGACATCATATGAGAATCCGCATCGAAGCCGGGGAAAGCCATAGGCTGGGATGGCCGGGGTTCCCCGTGCCCTCTGCGATGTATCCCCTCCATAATTTCCAATGGAAAGGGCATCGATGAGAGGGGGGATGTAATTGAAATAGAGGCGACTGCGGTGGGGGGAGGGGATGAACGGTAAAAAAGGTGGGTTGAATTGAAATTCCCCGTACCCGCCGTAAACGAGACCCTTCCCGGAAGATGGTGATCGAATGCAGCCAAGCGAGAGACGATTGGCAGGATTCAGCCGACGACCAGGGTCTGTCAACACAAAACAACTATTAGCACGGAACGGATCTTATGATAATAATTTATGATAATAAGAAAATTAAGCTGACGACTGGGATGAGGGAAACGCACGATGGATCTGGAGACCACCACCCAGCCTTGACGCCTCGGGATTTCCTGATGAGTCGTGGAGGGGGGGCTAGACCCTCCAGACGCTCATGCCCCGAGAGGATCTATCTTTGGATGGAAGATAAAATTCTTCCGAGTATGACAAAGGAAAGATGATAAAATAAAAGTGGCAGAAATAAACGATGAAAGGTGGAGAGGAGGAGAGAAGGGAAGTGTGTGGGAAGATTTGAGACACGGAGGGCAGGTTTACTGCCGACCACGCAATGACAATAACCAAGATGTATAAGTTAGAATCAATGATGTACTCTGTACGAAATTTTGTTGATATTGAAACAGAAGAACAGAAATCAAGTCACGAAAAAGAGGGAAAGTCGAATAATATGATGTCCAAAGCCCAGAGTGACGCTGAACAAGAAGTGTACTTGTAATTTATGTAATCTACATGTAACTGCATGTACCAGTATGACTCTTGTCACGGGAAAACGACCGATTTACGGCGCTTGGCTCGATTCCCACAATTTTGTGCCACTCCCGTCTGCTTAAAAGCCGATTACTTTTTTTTTTTAAACTTTTTTTCTGTATTTTTTCCGCACGGTACTATGTATGCGGTAGACTAATTGGACTCGTTTCCCCAATTAAACTCGTGTGACGAGCCAGAGTACTCCGGAGTGAGTGTCATCGGATTTGGAAGGTCATCCTTTCTTTCTCTGCATATTCGCACGGTCCCGGGGCTTCTTTTTTTTTGGTTTTAAAACAGATCAAATCGTCTGAAATTGTTTTTGAGGATCCAACATAGAGCTGACCGGCATCTCTCATCATCGGCCCGAGTGGTCGCAAGCTCCGTACTAAAGTTGAAACTAATGTACCTCGCCCGTTCCTGTGAGTCAGGGTCGGACTAAACGCAGGTACTATCAATTCGTATGGCTACCTGCAAACAGTTGGACAAGCTTCAGAAGACAAAAAACATGTCACCTTCCAAAGACATCATATCATGTTCCTTAGCGTCCCCGGCACGAGTCCAAATGCAGGTTAAGTGGGGACTGTTCGTTAATGGTGGAGTACGCCTCCCGGTCCAGTCAAAGAGGTCTCGTCGGATGAAAGGCAACACAGTCATCCATCTCATCGCAAGATCTCATTCGCTTATGCTTTAAGATGTTTCAGATCAACGAGGGGGCCTCTCCACGAGCTACCCGTGAAGAAATCGTAGAGAGAAAAAAAAATTTGGACGGAGTACAACCAGAGAGTAATTTGATATTGAATTTTATAGTCCATGCGCAGCGGGGCGAAACGATAGTAAACCGAGCAACGGATGGATCCTCAAAAGATAAGAAACGTTATACGGGTCTTGTTGTTTTGAGCTTTCTTTTTCGGGGGCAGACAAGAAGGAAATTGATGTGTGTTTTCCACAGCTCAGGGTAGACAATATACTTTGTTGCATTTTGCCCAATAAGAAGCGATCAGATAGACTATAGAACCAGAAATCAATATCCTCTTCCTACGATCATATATCGCAACGGAGCGAAGACTCACCGAGAGGCTCAGAAAGAGATCCCTATATTACCCGACAACGGTATCACCCATGTACGGGGAAGATACACAGGACGGCCTGTCACGGAATTTCCCCGATGTTTGTCCAGGTAAAGTATCAAGTAAAGAGGCAACAACCTCGCAAATCACCGTTCTTCGTTGGCATCTGCCGCCTGGGGGGATCCTGAGGTGGACTTCCGTACCAGTTAATATCCCTGCTCATCTTTCCTTCTCTTTTCAGTTTGCCACTGGCGTGGCACTAAGGCGGGGTCAAGGAATAACTCCGGTCACGCTCTTGAATTCAGAGTCGATCCCAAGATCCCGTGTCATCTTGATATCAATTGTCCCCGGTAGCCTGGTCGACTCATGTGGGGACAGGGGCCTGGATCGGGATACGGGAACAGACACACGAGGCATCACCGAGCAAGGTCATGTTTTCTCCAATGACACACTCTAGGAGTAATCATCTCCAGCATGGCACCGAGTGCTGGAGACTCCTAGACTGTTATTTTCTTTCCCGCCCCCCCCCCCCCCCACCCGACCCACCCACAAGTTGGGGAATCCGAGATAAGAAGTGGCTGATAGGAATGTAATTAGAATGTAATTAGCCATGGTCATCCTAACAGAATGCAGATCGGCGGAACTTTCGACCTTATCTCTTCGTTAGCATTAATCAGTCCGTGCATGACCTACAACATAGAGCACATTCATGCGTCTAATCAAATTGCCAAATCCATTTTTGAAGCAGGGATGTGAGTTGGGGAAATCACTGCTTGTCTCAGGCACCCGGATAAACCCGAATCTGTATGTCCGTGGGGTGGGAGAGCACTGGGCAATTGTTGCCACAGGGAAGGTGGGCCGTGGCGTCTGCACATTCAGCCCGCAACGCCAATCTGACTGGTACTTTGGTCTTCGCCCATAGTAGTGTAGTGAGGGGTTGGAGGATGTTTTTTTTTTTTCTGTGCGGTTCTTGCGGGTATGCGAGAAATTTTTTAGAAGGTCAGAGCCTTTTTTGTAATTCCATAAGAAGCAGCATTTGCCTAGGGGGCGAAGAAGCGTCGAGACGGAAAACGACGACACTGCACATATGGAACGAAGCCAAGCATCGATTCTCTTTTCGGTAAATTGACTTGACATGGGTGATATGGGTGGCATATTTTCCATAGGTTTTGGTATTTGACCGAGTTGACCGAGTTGACACCGAAATGAAGCCGAAATCAAAACGGAACACCAGGGACATTGCGCTATATATATACGTTGCACTCAGCAACCCAAGGAAATTGACGCCTTGCCGTATGGTTATCCACCAAGACCGTCTCGATAAGACGTGGTGCTACCTAAGCGGCCAAAACCATGTACTCACTGATATGGTAACCAACAGGGAGAATCCCAGGTATCTCCATCGAAAATTCAACGTGCAGAGATAAGAGACTGACGCAATGATACATTATCATTGGATCACCTACACCGCCATCTTACTACTCTACAATCTCCATATTTCAACCCCAGAGTTTTCCTACGCATCGGATCTCCGGGGGATCCCCCAATGCGGATCTTGAGGCGTCAACTACGATGTTGTGAATGGATCACGCTTATCTCATGCGTTTTCCGTTGTGTTTTCTCAATGAGATTAAGATGACGACATCGCTGATGTGACTGATCTTCATGATATCTGATTGCAACTCTCATAGATACGGGAATGACCAGATCATTGGTGCAATCTCGGACACTGACGCGACGCCATCACTGGATCACGCAAGAGAAATTCACAGATGACTATTTTCGAACAACACGAATGCTTTGGGTTATCTTGCCAATCTCTTCCTTATGCGATCTTCATGCAAGGGTCCCTATCAAGTCGGATTTTGCGAGATTGGAGTGCAAACCACTGCTGGCTAGTTGTTATCAGAACCTTTCTTGGGTTTCTATCAGCTGATTTGTGTCAAGAAATTTTTCATCACGAACTCAGATATCCTCAAGCCAAGAGTGCATTGGCATTCATGCCCGTGCATCCATGGACATAAATTGTCCTCACAGCCGCAACTCTTATCATGAACGTCGATCATTGGATTGGCTTCTCTCGACATACCAATAGCCTGACTCGACTCTTGTGCGGATTTCCGGGTTGGAAATCTGGAGATCGAAGGATCCCGGACCAACAGTGCCTCAAAAATAAGTCAACGTCCTGGCTTATCACTTCTTTGCATGTGAGCCACTATGAATCACACACTCTCACTTTTGCCACAACCATTCGACGCGAGTAAGAACACGATTCTTCCCACGGAGTACTCCGTACTACTTATATACGCCCTAAAAGTAGCCTTTGACAAAGCAATGGTGCACCGTACATTCATAGTCCGGTAAGCATGAAACAAAAAGCTCATATCGCATTGACAGATAGTACTCTTATAGAACATAGAGAATAAGAACTCCGGAGAGAGAAGGCCGAAAAAAAGGAGAATGCAATGCAAGTATTGTGCAATGTGTACAAATTGAAGATTTCATTTCCAGCACAAATTGGGCACGTGTATTGGAGAGGACCCAGAGGAGATAAGATCGTAGCCCAGAGGCAGGAAAATAGAACAAGTAGGTCGAGCGCGCTCCAATCTATGATTGCAACGTAGCATAGCAACCCTTCAATTGTAACTATCTTGGCGGTGAAGCAGATCCACATCTTTCCCGCATGTAGGAGTTTCGTCTTCCGAATGAGACAGAAGCGAAAGAGATGAGAAGGGTATCATGCATTGACGATATAACACACAAATCCTCCACGGGGATGAAGGGCATTGAAGAGGGTTAAAAAAAATCTATCAGAAAAAAAGCCCCAACAGGTATGAGATGAAATGACGCTCCAATCCAGACAACCGCCGACCAGAAAAAAAAACCCCCATACAACCGGGATAAAAAAAAGCCACCAAAATGAGATAGAGAAAAGTCCACAGAAATAGACCGGGTTGAGAAGGAACCTGAGGAGATGGAGGGAAAATATGAAGGGGCTATGCCATGACATAAAAGGAAAAGACCAGGAACCATGAAAGAAAAAAAAAGCCACCTAAAAACCCTTGCGCCCGCTAATGACCAGCTGCATGAGCAGACCTGCCACGGTATATGAGGATGAGGTAAAAAAATGGAAGATGAAATGCCGAGGGGGGGGGGGGGTAAAAGGTATGCGTCTGTTCCTCGAGGTATTAGAAAATGGAACAGGCCGTCTAGGAATGTGATGTGCAAGATGTAGGATTCAAAGGAATGCGAGAGGGGTAAGCGTGGCAGAGGTAGGATATGGCGAAGAAAGGAAGGAAAGGGTTCATGGATTCGGTGACCGTGGGCCTCCAGGGTGTCCCATCGAAGCAGGATTAGGCGGGTATACGTGTTGTGGAACTGCGTCTCCGGGATACATGGGATACGGCAGCACGCCCATTCCAGACATGGCACTCATATCCTGCCATTGCGGGTAGCTTACTCCTGGTGGGTATGAGACTGAGCCTGGTATATGCATCTCAGGTGTGCCTGGTGTGCCTGGCGGGGCCATGGCACTCGCCACAGACAGAGATTGTGCAGGAGTGGTCATTCTCCGTTTGAGCTCCGTGGGGACTTGTGGGTGAAATTGATTAGGATATGAAGATCCCATTTCCAGTCCAGGATAGCTCATGGTTCGTGGTGGTGGCGGTGGGACCTGCCAAATTGTTCCGTCTGGCTGCATAGCGTATGCTGCTTGACCCATCGGCTGCGCTGGGCCTCCCATTGAAGATGCTGCAGATATCGGCGAGGGGGGTGGCAGGCCTGAGTGTATGCTCCCGGGATTCCATAAGTTGGGTGACATGTTCATCATCTGGCTCTTTCCGGCTGCCATGGTGTTCACCAGCTGCGAGCCTGGGATTGTCGTAAATTCGTCCCACGCGCCCCTCGGGTCCATCGGTTGATGTCCAGCAAAGTCTCCTGGCCCCATAGGTCGGTCTAGTTCGGATTAATCAGTCAACCAATGTGTCTTGATTCCAGTACAAAGACGATTATCCAAACCTACCTGGCGTTAGGCTCATGTTGGTTTGAACCATTCCGACGTTGTACGTTGACATGTCCTGCACGGTCGAGGTGTTCATTGGCATAGTCTGATAAGGGTAAAAAGTCTCGGCGGGGTCGGTCATCAAATTAGTCGGAGAGGAATTAATCGGGGTGGTGTTTGAGCGTTCAGTTGAGGGTGTCTCCAATCTCGAGTTTGGTCGTGATTTCTTTTCAATCGGTGGTTGCTGGTCCACTGGAAAAAACTGACAGTCCTTTCGCAATCGAATGCAGTTTTCACATCGTCCTTCCGTATCATCTGGCGCTACCAGACATCGAATCTTTCGTCGTCGACAGTGTACTGTAAAGATATAAGTAACTGACTTGGTCACATGTGAATACCAGTTCTCGAGAGGAGGGGTTGTCCGTTTCCTTTTGAACGACACACTTCCACGCTGCAAAAACGATGAAGAGAGAAAGGCAACCAGGACCAGAACGATGAGTGCTTGGGATTTTATTACTGACCACATGCGACAGAGGTTCGATGATATCCTAACTTATTGCGCTTCTTGTCACTTGTGTCCATGGCACTTTGTGAATTTGCTGTTGATGTCATTTGGTCGACAGCTATGGGCATATCTCCTCCGAGCACGGTTCTGTCGGTGTGTCGGTCGAAAGTGCATCAAAGGTCCTTGTGCGGCGAAAGGCGTGCTTTGTCAACCAACGGGCTGAGAGTACCTCGAGGCGTGATCAAAGATGAATGCGACAGGATTCCGCGCAAAGCCATCCAGACACCGCGGAAAGAGTATGACCTAGAAGTGCCTTCAGAGGATGACGCTGCTTCAATTCCCTGATTCCGATCCACATACGCCACACTGGACCAAGTATGATGTTGCGCGCGTTTCAGAACGAGGATGTTGGGCGCAAGTTAGGGCCCGGCCGTGTCTCAAAGTATAGAGGTTACTTTGCAATAGAATGACCGAGACCAAATTGTATTCCAGGTTCGGGGTCCCCAAATTCTCAAGTCTCGTAGGTGTGAATTAATCAGTGATAATTATAGTGATTCAAATGTTCGTAGGATGCCAGGGATATGGACGGGGTTAGGGCCTAGAAGTTTATTGTGGCCCAGTTTGAGATCGAGGAAGAAACCACACTAGGGGGACACGTCAACCGATAATAACCGGAACAAGATTAGTTAAGGGAGAAAGGAGAAAAGACAAGAAAAAAATGGAGTATTCAAAGGAGTGAATATGAAGTGAACGGTGTGAAGAGAAGAAGAGCAGATCGAAGATGGTAGGTATAGTCCAACCGGTAGAAGCTAATCGCGGGGTGAAACGGCCAATGGTCTTTTGGTTTTTTTTTCTTGGGAGTTTTTTGGGGATTTAATTAAATTTTCACAAGTATGTATATCACGCCGTACGTGGAACAAGGTGGCTCTCATACCAACTAAGACCAACACGGATGTATCGACTTGGCCCCAAATCAACTACAGGCCATTGTCAACGGATGATCAGTTCAGGGGTCCGCGAACAACTTCCCTTTAATGCTTTAGATTTACTACATAGGGTGTTCAATGGCGCTTAGATGGAAAATCTTTCTTGCAACAAGGTTTTCCCAATTTATCATTTTTTCTCGTCATTCTTTTTTTTTTGGTACCTAAAGTAGCTCCTTTTTTTTTCAAATCCTGCTACCATCAGATTGGTCCTTGAATAATTTGGTAAATTTCCAATGCCCCCTGATTGCGTACTATAGACCCGGTTCTTCAAATGAAGCAGAGGCAAGGAACCATGGTCTGGGAGCCCTGACAACGGTGGAGATGTGTGGATGTGTGGATGATGGCCGCTTAAAGTGTACTACCAGTTAGGTTTAGGGCCTACAAGGATACCTGTCAATCATCGATAGACTGGGGAATATTTCCCTTCAAATCCTTAATTAGTGATTGGTGACGCGAGTTTAGGTCGGCACTCAGAACCAATAGGCTTGTTCGCTTGAGGGTTCATTAAAAAGAAACTTCTTGTCTCTGGTCATTTCAGACGCTGATCCCTATAAAGCTAGAGGGCGTCTCGAAGGCGAGATGTGAAGCTCGATCTAAGGAGGATTGACCACATGGCCTTCTGGAAGACTAGACATTCCACTATGTCCGATGGTTCTAGAGAGTACGGAGTTCTCCGTAACATGATATGAACCGAAACGAACCATCGGTTGATTTGTGCTAAAAACAGTTTCAGGGTCCATGGATGATGTGTATCCTGTTGTCAGTTCGAATTTTTTTTTTCTTAGTCCTATTTCCCTTTTGTCATATTTGGACGAAGTGGTTTGTTTAATATGGACAAACCTATATTTCTAAAAAGAAATAATAAAATCCCTGGTTTGGGGTTCGCCCCTTTTCCAGGAGCTTCATTGCTGCCATCTTTACCCAGAAAAAAAAATTAAAAAATAGAAGAACCCCGTCAAAAGATCGGGGATAGTGGACCAATCAATGACCACGGACCTTTCTTCATGGACCCAACCACGATGTACCTTGGGTAAGAAAGCCTCTACCTAATTGTGCTAATTATGCATCTCATGCTCATAGGCGCTGTTTCAACGGGGATGATGGTGTATCTGGGGACAATTTCAAAAAAACACGTACGTGGCCCTGGTGATTTGATTCTATTACCCAAAAAAATTTAACATTGCACTTTGAAACCCAATAGACATCAATCTGCATCTACACAGCCCTGAACTACACCCAAGTAGGATAACTGTCCGAAAACCTTTTTAAAACATGACCTCCAAATTATATATTACTCCGTACGTAAATATTATACACGGAGTACAACCTTGATAGCATACGAAAGGCCAGCGAACTCACAACCTCTGCGTGGGACTGGTCAAGGTTTAATTAAGGGTTGTCTTTACGGTAGTAGCGTGTTACAAGTTGGCCTTGGCGTTCGTATGGGACTCATCTCGGGGGGGGGGGGGTTTCCTTCTGTCTCAGCTTCTATGGAGACTCATGGAAGGTTCCAAGTTGAAATGGAGAAATCACGGGGAATTCGGGCTTAATCTACTTGTAAAGTATAATGTACTTCGTATTTCTTCGGGCAATACTGTACGAGAAGTGGAGAGAAAAGGGGGCTATTATCGACTGATTCAACCGAAGAGGAAAATGTGTCAAACCCGGTGTGGGTTGGAGAATATACTGTTCTGGTGCGAGGAGGGACTGGACTGGACGATGATCTTCCTAAGTGTTGTATGGCGCATCACGTCAAAATAACCCCTCAAGGCCAATTAACGCCACCGATCACCATGCTCAGTAGGCTCTCGTGCTCTCTAAGCCACTCTGCAACGTCCTTGGCACAACCTGCCACGAGAGTCTTACGTATCATCTGTACGAAGTAGCTTCTAGCGTTTAAACCTGAGGAAATGATTCTACCATCATGTACGAAGAAAGACGACACATTGGACGTACCATCCACGCTCTAGCCCCGCCATTTAGCACAATCTGGACGACGATCGACAAGCACGGGTCTTGAGAAATGCGCAAGAGCCGAGACTAAGTCTTACGACAGAGACTCTACGAAGGTGGGTTGTGTAGAGCTGAATAACTAGCACATGTATCGTGACGCGGCAGCTGTTACCTGCGATAGATCTCGCAGTAGTGTGAGGTCGGCGACTCCGCGAGCACGGAACCAGGATAGACACGAGCATGCATAATATATTTGGTATCGCATAAAAAAACTTCCAGGGTGTAAGCAGTGTGGCAGAAAGGTCCGTAATCGATTTCGCTTGAACACAATCAGGCAAAGCTCCAACGGGTGTCGCGTCACTGTCGATCGGCCAATTGTTTAAAAGTGAGACAAGGGTCCAGCCCAGGGCTGAGCTAGATCTTGTTAATCGTAGCCAAGAGTGCAGTCAGGTGGATCGATAGAACAATCAGTTTCTTCTTAGAAGTCGCTTAACCACGTCCATACTAGTCTACTTGGGTGCATCTTCAATCTTGTTTTAATAGTTACAACATACGGAGCACAATTTCAGAAATGTCCTTAATTATTCCCTTCTGGGATTAGTAGGGAAAGCCCTTGCCAAACCCCAACTGCCGGGCTCCGCAGTAGCGTGCAGGTATACCCTATGAGTATTAGGCGCACTATGATGATCTTTCTTTGGGAAAACTGCTGATCCGATGGGATGTGCTTATATTAGGATGGTCTGTTGCGTGGCATACTTTCGGGGTTGGTGCTTTTTTGGAAAGCTTGCTCCGTAGGCCCTACCTCCCTTGGGAAGTCTTGGGAACAAGGCTTAATCAAGTTATGCAGATGATAAGATGATTTGATCTAATGTGAGACCTCTGCAGACAAGTACGGAGTACAAGTTACAGCATATGTGATCGATCTCAGGGCGTAAGACAGTACAAATAGGGTTATACGTCTGATCCCAAAGTACTTCGTACTTCGTACTTCGCCTACTCCCTCCAACAGATTTAGTAACAGAACTCCGGACGACGACTCCGTATGGCGTATAAGATCGGAGATCTCACTGGGGGCTAACAATGCAGGGACTTTATTGGTCTCTTAGCTGTGGTCCGGTTGTTTCACCCCTCTCGGGGCCCGTAACTTCATTCGGCCGTCGGCGGCCTCAAGGGGGGAGGGGGTCACCCTTTTTTAACCTGCAACTTGCCTTACGCGTCCTTCCAATGAACCCATTCCTCTCTCCATTTCACCCCTATCATGATTTTCGGCGTTTTTTTTTAAAAATTTTTTTTATTTTAATTTGGTTTTCAGCTGACGAAGAAAAGGAAGGTGGTATCCACTCTTTTCTAGCTGGGCGTTCTCCAATGGCGTCGGCTTCCCCCCCCTTCTCAACAGGCTTGGATTCATCTCTCCCCCACGGATACTCCGAGAGAAAGCCGTTGAAACCACCAAAAGGCTTTTTGCCAGTCCCTAAAAGGAGCCAATATCCATAGACTGGTTTAATGATGAACACAACTATGGAGATAGGTTTGCACGATTGTGGCCTTTCGTGTTTCGCGCTCAGTTACCCCGTCCAGTCCGTGAACTCAACCTCCAGAAATAGCTGTATGCGCAATTCTATTCATTTGCGAGATACTACCTCATTCGCTCACACGTATCACAACCATTACATCAATGGCTCTCGCTTGCCTTATTGAACAGGCGACACAATTTGTCACACGTGTTTCCCCGAACCGACTAATGATCGCATGGCACCCAACAGCAGCACACCATGCCCGAGCGAATGTTTCCTTGTCTCGGTTGCCCCGTGCGTCGATGACAATAATCTCCGACACTTGAGCTGCGTCTGGGCCTTGCAACAAGTTCGATTGCGGCGCCGGGGTGGAGGGGAGGGAGTCCAACGAAACATTTTTGTATCGATAAGAGTTGTGCAGAGGATGGCCTGGTAGACGTGTGTACGTGGGCACGGGTCTTGTAGGCTGAATTTCATCTTTCTCGCGGTCGGATGGCTTGTGAGAGACGACCCCCAACGGTGGACAGCATTCATGGGCGGAGATAAAGCGCACATCATACGTGAGGGGGAAAGAAACCGTAGTTGAAACTCCTGCACTGTCCGCGTCTTTGATCGAGAATGACATGGATGCCACAGCAGGTGTAATACCGTTGTTATTGGGAGGGTTATAATCACTGACTGACAGAGTCAAGTCTTCGATAGTGACAGTGTGTGTCGCACTGGACTCTGGATTCTCCGTTGGGAGTGTAAAGGCTTTTGCTGTGATGTCTCCCAGGCCTAGCGGTGTCGATTCAATCGCGAGCTTGGCGCCCTGCTTGATTCGAGGCCTACTCGAAATCTGCGGAACCTCTTCAACTTGGAGTTCAAGCCATCCACACTTGAATAATTTCCGCGTGCTCTCATCGCGGGGTATCATGTCGCTGCTGATCCACCCCATGCACGTCTGAGCTCCCTTTGAACTAGACAAGACACGTCCGACAATGCATGCTTTGCTCCACCAACTCCGTTCGCTATAAACGAACCCTCCATAGAGGTTGGCAATTGAGCCTAGTTGATCCAGTGCATCTACGTCGTTCTCAAGCAGCGTCGCCATGAGAAGGTGACTAATCGCATCTCCAGGTATCACGAACCCAGAGAGCAAGGAGCGCGAGATCCAACCTAACCGTTTGGACTGTGGACCAGAGTTACAAAGCTTGACCCGTCGGCGGCAGGGGTTTCGTGCACACAAATCGTCTTTGGTCAGTAACACCTCCTTGGATATTTTTTCCTGCCCCCATCTGTCATCGACGACTAAGACGGGCAGAACTGGATTGTTTGGATCGCCAAGTTTAAGCTCCATGGTAGCTCTTAGTGCAGCCAATTTTGGCCATCCAATGTTTTCTGCGAAGACATACAGACCCTCCAGTTGCTGCCGAACGTGTGAAGAACTCAGTTCGCAGTCCCAGGCAGATTGTAGATCCGCAACATGGAGCGAGCTACGCCGAATAATGCTTTCAAGCAGTGAGAACCGATGACTTTTCCCAGGCGGCTTGGTGGTCGAGCCACTCGGAGATAGCCCTGAATGTGGCGTCGGGCAAGTGAAATGAAGACTGTTGAGGAACCGGCGCACAACGATCAGATCCCAGTTCAGCTTGCCTTCTCGCAATTTCTCGAATTGTGCAAGCTCATGCATCGTGATGTGACCACCTTGCGGATCATGCAACATGCCAACTCGGACGAACGCGTCCAAGCGAAGAAGCAACTCAGCAGAGAGAAGCATCTGGATCAGCAACCACTTTCGCTCCATCCCAGACCTGACCAAATCATTCTGCGACAATTTTTCATTACTTGAAGTGGGATCCAGACAGGCTCCATCGCCATGCTGGGATGTCTCCCATAAGACCTGCCCTGCCCGAAAGCGCCATTCGGGGAGACTGAAATTAATCCATGCTCCGGGGGTGGCCAGCACGATTGCCAAAGTTTTGATCTGAGATTTGACGCTTTGCGGATGACCCTCTATGATGTCAGCAGGTGGAGGGTGAGGATGTAGGAATTGTGTATGTAAAATGTCGTGCAACTCGCGCGGACTTTCAATATCCAAAATTGTCTTCCTGGATCCCTCTTTGAGCATTTCATATCGATAATTGCGCAGATGTTCCAAACGTTGCACTAGAGATCGCATATTGATATCTCGAACTCCAATGCGCTTCCAGGCCTCGGGGCCTTCACAGATGAGTCTACATCGATCGTGAACGGCACCACTTTGACACTGTGAGTACGGTTTGTTATATCCCTCCATTAAATCGAACGCCTCCATTGCCGCCATGGTAGAGACTTGTTCTAAACATGGAGGTTTCCTTGGGGCTTCGGGTCCGGTGTATCGGATCGTGTCAGCCACAGGCAATTCAAGAAAGTGCCGGAAACCGACGGTGCCAGGCTCTTTGCCATTTTGGGACAGCATGTTCGGTACTTCGAAGATCCCAATATCAAACGTTGCCCTATTGGTAGCGTCTGTTCGGCGCCAGTCAAGGACTTGGGTCGGAACGCCGCCTCTGACAGCCCAGTCGTCTGGCAGCGGCAGATGAGCATGAAGTGTGCTCAGAGTAAAGGTTGCATGGGGCAGCGGCTTGCGATCCCACATATGTTGTATTACTGGGTTCTGCTCATCCCAAGGAAATATCACCTCGGGATACCATCGACCATGCTTGCCTTTCTCCAGAAGAAAGTGAGGTGCTCCAGACAACAATGCCTTGATGTCTTTTGTCGTGAGTTTTGATGCCTCTGGGGGGCAGGGGTTGGCGCCGGGCAAGTTGTGTTTTGATTTGCTTGCCATCTCCAATCTGGATTCGAGAAGATCATAGATATTTCCAGGTTGCGTTGGCTCACAGTGTGCCTCTGCTGCGGGAGAACCGTGCCTAGGAGAGCCAGGGGGATCTTTGCTGTCATCTCGCTGGCCACTACTCACTCGTCGTAATTTAGGTAGCGAGTTCGCTTCACTCAAACATGTCTGTTCCTTATCCTTTTTCGCCATGAGCTAGCTGTTGCAATAACAAAATAGACTTTCTTACTTGTGTTGTGAATGGAAAAGGTATGTCAGAACTACCGCTGTGCTTTCGAAATAGGTTTCGGAGTCCCCCGTTTTTGTTTTGATCATCTTGGTGACAGTCGGGAATATGGCGATGTGATGATGACCTTTCGAGTGTGTTGAGCTCATTTTGGGCAGTAGAAGGTGCATCTAAGGAACGACGTCGGCCAAATAGGAAAGACATCAGAGCCCCTGGGGATGCAAATGTTGAATCTCCTAAATGAATACAATACCTTGAGAAAATAAAAGATCAAGAGATAAGAAAGAAAAAAAAAATACAGAACTATATGCGGAGTGCTGATCTCGGCTCCTCGGTTCGTGAGATGACTCTGGAACCGGCAAAGCGGTAAGTGGGTGAGAGCCGAGATTTTTCCACGAATGCACAAAGATGACGTTGCGGTGAATTGGTGTATCCTAGACTGATATTGAAAACATGAAGAATTGGGGAGGTTTAGGAGGTGAGGGAGGTTTAGGAGGTTAGGCTGAGATTTGGGAAGTAATGACGTCTTACGAACAAGAGCATCGTACCATCTACAAATTTTTTTTTAAGGATAACACACAAAAGCAAAACCTTACTTCTTTACATTCTTCTCGGTATCTGATTTCAACACAAGCGACACAAAGAGCCTCAAACATCTCTCATGCACGAGGGCTGATCCTCGTTGGACATACACCAGAAGGACTTTGCGTGTACATCGGAATTGTCTTTTTGGTTTGTCCAGGTAGGGCTGATTACCACTTCTCTCATTCTCTCGTTAGGAAATCAAGTTCTCATTTTATCATCAAACTTCTGCGCTAATGGACTCCCTATCGATTGTGCTCTTTTTGTTTACGAGTGCTGGTGGAAAAATTCAAGAACAGTCTTATATCCACGCTCGTACTCCTTGCGCACCTCAGGGCTCTCCAAGTCCGATCGTGCAGCCATCCAGCCATGAATCTGAGTTGGGAAAGTCTCAACGTATTTAGGGCCCTTCAAGTTGGCCTCAAAGTCCTTGATGTCTTGGGCAGGTTCGTCTTTCGAGGCGAGCAGCACCATGGGGATGTTCACGGCCTTTGCATCATTGGCGTCGACCATAGCCGGGTGGCACTGTGCGGCCGCTTTGAATAATTTGTTATCAGCGCCGGAAGACAGGGAGGCGATCTTGCCGCCCCAGCAGAAGCCCAGGATCGACCAGGACTGGAAGTTGTCGCCAGGGGCTAGCTTGTTGCCTTCGGCGACGATGCTGGGGATCTTGGAGAGAGTTTTGGGTGGCACGGCCTTGGTTGAAAAGAAGTTGCCCAGCTTCTCCTTGTGTTCCTGGGTGGTAGGGGGATACCACGAAATATCGGCGGGGCTACCCTCGAAGAAGTCGGGAATGAACACGCGGTATTTTTGGTCGGTCGATGTAGCGAGGATGTCGGCACCTTGGATTGTCTGGTCAAAGAAGCCGAAGATGTCTGCATGTCGCGCAATTGTATCAGTGAATGGTCGGGTTGCAATTTCTTATGAGAAAGTGAGTGACTGACCATACACGACCAGGATAGCCTTGGTGGCCGATTCTGGGCCGGTGACGTCTAGAATCGATCTCGTTAGCTCAATCGTGAGAGTTCAGCGAAAGTCGGAACACACAGGTTTTCAGGCCATTGATGGTCTTGTATTCTCCCTTGGGCTGATAGCCCTTGGATACAACAGGAGGGATTCTGTGCACGGTGATGGTCAGCTACAAGTAGTTGGGGCATCACCGGATGCAACGATTCTAAGGGTCACAAACGAGCAACATGCTTTGCTGATTCCAGACATGGCTGTAGAGAAGCAGACTTGGGATGAAAGGGGAGATGGTAGTACGGTATTGGTTGCAAGCAACGGTCTTCGGACGGTCAGAAATGGCCTCTATTTCGTTCGGGGGCAATCAGGACCAGAGAGGAACATACAAGCTACAATTTAGTTCTGAATCGAAAGCGAAGTTGAAGAAAATAGGCCTGGGGGTAGAGAGGGAACTCGGAATGCTAAGAGGAAAAACGTTGAAGTGCTGTACCCCGCCATTCGACGTCATCGGAGAAACACTCGGCAATTCAAGGGAATGCAACCCGGTGTAACTACAGAAGTATCAAGGCTGTTTAGCTTGTCCTCTGTTTAGTAGTTTTCGATTTTTTGAGGGATTGATTTCCTATAACCTTTTTTCATTGAGTCTGTTTGGTCGGCGGTTATAGCCACGGGGTAATTGATCTATATGGACATTTGTGGCCGAACCACAGCCGAGGTTAAATGTCATATTTGTCAAGACGAGCAGACAAAATGGTGCTACAACCGATTTGAAATAAAATATCAATTTGAAATTATATTTTAGCAATTTTTTTCGAAAGCCGGGGTACTGGGTGAGCTTGTGTAGCGAAAGACTCATGGAACTTGATACCTATTTCCTGCAGTCACAGCGAAGAAGTATTACAAACATCACCAGGTCTTGAGACCACCTCATTTATGTACCCACCGGTTTCACCGCAGAAATTGTCACACTGGATACCTACAGCTTCATGAGCTTCATGAAAGCCCAAGGGCGATGAGGACAGCAAACCAAACCGGTCCGATTTTGATTTGATAGATTAGCACGATGCGAGAGAAAGTTGTCGTCTCTTCCAAATTCTTACACCAAGGCAACACACAGCGCAAGCAGATCCACTGTTCGAATCTTGCTGTAAGGGAGGATCAGCGATCGAAATATGCTCGTGGGGGAGTTCTCATCGAGAGAGGGGGAAAAGTTCCAAAAATATAAATGCCGAGACAGAGAGACTCTAGCTTGGGATTCTAGACCAACCTTGGAATAGAAGGAGAGATCCGTGCCCTATTACCTTTGTTGAGTGTGAGACCCATGTGTTAGCGTATTATGGTCGATGTACAGAATAGCCTAGACACGTTAGAAAGGTCACAAGCAATATGTGGGCTCTGAAATCCACCTACGCCGAGACATACCCATCGATCATGCAGCAAACTCATGGCTGCAGATCTCCCGTGAGAAGTAAATAGTCAACCTTCCACGAAACGCCATTTCCGAGGACGATCGTGAACGCCAGCCGTGAGCCTCACCGAAGCCACACCGGCAAGAGCCGATGCAGGCGACACTGAGGCGTTCACGACCAGCCAGGTGGATCCTTGCGCGTTGTCCCATCTAGACAGTACCTAGGAGTCGCTTTTAAAGAGAGGAACGACTAATCGGCTGTGAACCGTAACATAGTGCGCCTCGAGAAAAGGCTGTGTGAGGTCAATTAACGGGGAACCCAAACAAAGGAGGGGGGCTACCGATTGTTGATAATCAACTGATCATCACTGATATGAACCTTTTGGGGTAGGCGATGTGCGGCTATCTACGCGGTGGAAGGATGTGAAAGCTATCGAATTGTCGACTTCCTTTCGGCATCTTAGACAAATCAGGGTATCTAGTGAATGTCAGAATACTGCATGGAATGTATAGAATGTACAGCTGTGGACAAATGCCCTGTCTGCCACTCACTAGACACAGCTAGGGTAGAGGTATGCAGTTCCCGAGAATGTGACTCGCCTACCTCTCGCATGTCTAGGACTTCTCCCCCTTTTCTGTTCATTGCTTTTTTCCCTCCTGTTTTTTTTTGTATTTTTCTTTTGAGGGCACTGTGGGGGGGTTTTAAGCCCAGCTTGCTACGGAGGACCAAATACGGGGGAATTGTGAACCAGATCGTGAGATTAAATCCCATGCGCTGGTGAATATGTCTCAGCTGTATCAAGGAGCTTCAGCCATCCGCACATTCTATGCATAGATGGCACCAGCCTCTGCGGAGTACTCGGGGCATATCTTCAAACCATGTGATTATTAAGTTTGCGGCAGATCAGCTCTATCAAGTTTGGTGTTCGGTTGAGCTGTACACTCCGCACGGGGTAGGGAGCACATACTACTCTGTACAGTGATGGACATCGATCGACAGGGCATGCCCTTCCCCCCCTTTTTCCCTACATAAGCATCTGCCACGTCCGTGCAGCAGGCAACGAACGAGAGGCCTCTGTAAGTTGATTGGAGGATGAGATATCTATCGGGACTGAAGCGAGGTTCTTGTGTGGAGTGCTCGAGACCTGGCATTCCGCCACCCAACCTACAAAAGTATTTAGATCTTCCAACATATGGAGGGAAACCCGAGGGAGTGGATGCTGGAGGCGATTGGCTTTCGGGGGGTGAGAGAATAACGGGTGTGTCAAGTTGACCTTTTACGGCCTGAGCCAACCTTGAAAAGTAACAAAAGCGAAAAAAAAGAGGAAACGAATGGAAGTTCCCATGGCCGGTGAACCCGGGGGACCAATCAAACCGACCTTCTACTTTAGAAAAAGTGAAAAAAAAAAAAAAAATTAGAAAAGTGCAGATGACCACCAGAGGCATAGATTATAGTCTCGAGGAAATACGGAGTGCTCCGTATGCCGTAGGATGTTGTATGGTCTACGATCTACCTACAACATACAGTCTACTCCGTAAGTAGATTATCTATTCTTAAAAAAAAGGAAATTTACCAAGACACAAAAAGATCAAACGATTAAAAAATCAAGACTTACTAAATTGCGCGATCATGCTTTTAGCTAACGAATGGCCGGTCAGGCAGCTCGCTTCCCTCTGCCTTCTGTACAGTCTTCTCGTATTCTGGCCATTCCGGTCTTGTCCGTGCGTTGACATCTTGGTCTCCTTATTGGACAGGAATCCTATTGTGATAGTAGAAAAGTATGGGTCCATTTCACAATTTTACTCTTTTTACTGTTTTTTTTTTCCTTTTTTTACTTTTTTTTTTAAAAAAAAAAAACCAAATTGAAATTTCCATCTTTCTCTCAATAATAGCCGGGTCCATTCCTGCTAGCACAGGTTCTCTCCGGAGTCTCTACACTAGCGCCCTTTTTTTTTTTTCACGCGATCAGTCCGGACGCAAGGGATTTCCCTCGAGGAAGAAGGGTTCTTTTTTTTTTCTTTTCGTGTCTAGCTATAGAGTAGATACTCTGTATCCATACTTCAAGTCAGTTACTTGGTATATAGAGTGAGTGTCGACAGAACGAAAGAAAGTAAAATAACCCCCCCCCAGAGACTAAACTTATATAGATTTTATATCCACAGATATCAAGATGAAAGAGAAATCGAAAAATCCCCGTAAGAAAGGCAACAATTCGGAAGAGCCAACCGGGTGATGTTTTTCTTAGCTGTCAACCACGTTCTCTGACCCCTCTGTATTTCGTCTGTTTCGCCCTTTTTTTTCGCCTTTTTTCTCTTTTAATGTATGAGTTCTGTTTTTATTATACCATTCCTTTCCCCACGGTGGCCACCTGGCTAGACCCGTGTCGACTCCATTCCCCCAAAGAGAAAAATCAATCTTATTTACTTTCCTTGACTTCCGTTAGAACTCCTGACTCTCTTATTAGAACACCTCCCCCGCGCTTGCTATCGCCTCCTAACGCCACGGTCCTTTGCCCACCCCCCACATCTCTCTTCCTCTCAGCTTCACTTCTTGAGTGTTTCAACTTCTCATTTCTCCCCGAGACCATGTACTACACGCGCTTTCGTCGACCGTGATAATCTCACTTTTTCAATCCTTTTTTTTTTTTTCCTGGATCTATTTTTGCAGTCACTTGATTTCGAGAGTGCTCTAGTCCTTCTAGAAATTCCCCTATTTCTCGGGAGAACCTGAGTCCTGCGACTCTCTCTATATTTCGATCGCGAGCCCCAGCGATCGACGATCGCCCCTCCTGGATTCTACCTGCCCTTCCGGGGGCGTACCTGGCGATCGAGATTGGGCTTTGAGCGGATCGTCTTTCGGCCAGCTCACCAGCATCAACGACCCCGAATTCTACGTAGGATTGAGGGATCCATCCGCCAATCTGGCTACCCTAGCAGTACCGGCGGGAATGGGGACAGCGTTAGACGCACTGTCAGCCCCGCCGTTGAACATTCGTCGTCCGGCGGCACCCACATTACCCAGCTTTGAGCTCCCACCACCGCCGTTCACGTTGGGTACGGCCGCGGCTGCACCCAAGTATGCCGGACACTCCACCCACCCCCCAGTCTCCCACGCACCAGTGAATGTGAGCGTGGGGAACCTCCTAACGCCACCCGCCACAATTCAAACAGGGGAGCACGCCACACCCCAACCCTTGGCCCCATCAACTGGCGCGTCCTCCGAGCTTCCGCCGGCATATTGGTCAGGAGCCAATCCATACGGACAGTCCTGGGGGTCCGGGGTAAACCCATATTCAGCTCGAAGTTCCTTTTCGCCATCCGGCATGCAGCGCTCATCCGTAATATCACCGCCGACGACGGATGGGTTGCCGCATCCATATGAAGGTCCGACATTATCTTACCAAGCTTTACCCGCCCCGTCTACCATGCCTCCCTCCGCGTCCCAACCTGCTATGGCCATGTACCACGGTGGACCCGCTACATCCCCCGCCCCACTGCCATCCAATGATCCATATGCACCCAAACACCAGCACATGTATGCCGCTTCTCCTCCCATGCACAGTCCCCACCAGGCCGGCTTTTCTTCCATGTATGGCCCCGCAGGGCTTGGCATCCACCCTGCAGGGAGAATGCCTGTTCACAGTCCATCAGCAGGACAGCCCCCGTTGGGATATCCCCGCCAACCATGGCCCTCATATTCTCTCCCGGCGATGAACGGTCCCGTCATGACCAACGTACACAGCCCCGGTGGGCCCATGTCGATGATGGGTGGGTTGCAACCCGGGCTTCTACCAGGATTCAACAGTGGACATGTCGCCAGCTCTCAACATTTATATGGTGGCCATGCGCCACCGCACGGCATGTCCGCCCCCGCGGCGGACCGACCTTTCAAATGCGACCAGTGCCCCCAGAGTTTCAACCGCAATCATGACCTCAAACGCCATAAGCGCATTCATTTAGCCGTGAAGCCTTTCCCCTGCTCGCACTGTGACAAGAGCTTCTCGCGCAAGGATGCTCTCAAGGTATGTATCGGCGATCTTGTGTAACAACTGCCGCACACTGACTTTTTTAACCCACAGCGACATATCCTTGTGAAAGGCTGTGGAAAAGACGGCGACTCGGACGCGAATAGCAACCAAACTGGGGCCGATATCAAGGGTGAAGGGCGGAGTGAGGACGGCAGCCCCCTTCTCAATGGACGAGTTTGAATCGTGTTCCGGCCTTCCCGTCTGTGACACTTTCGTCCTTGCTGCGACGTTATTCCCCGAACATTCACCGCATATTTCTGGGGTTAAAGTTTGGAGACATTGTATGTATCTACCGAGGCATTGGGAGTCGGGGTTTCTATCGGATTTTGATTTTTGGTTTTTTTTTTTCTTTTTATTTTGAGCTTCGGCGAAAGGTTTTTGATTTGGGCATAATGGGAAGGTCTGATCTCTGCTTTTTTTTACCCCTTTTTTTTCTTCTATCCGGATTTATGTCTATTATATGTGCTTATCGGACTCATGTGTGACGTGTGTACCTATCCTGCTTCTGTGATTTAAAGCGATTAAGCGAACTGTTAATGGGATGGGCAACGTCGGTATATAAACCAAGCATCAATCATGATATGGAAGACATCCCGAGCAACTCCAATCAAAGAATGCAAATCGTCTTAATTTTTGTAACCAAATATAGTCCAAGCCACGTTTTGCTACTCAACCGCCATTGGTTACGTATCTGGGTCCATTGAGTCCGTCAGACCCATGGCTGAACCCCCATCTCAGCCACTTGCTAGGTAGCCACATGGCTGTCTTATTCTAATTAAACCACGGGTGATGGGTGAATCTGGGTATTCAAATGGGGTTGCCTCCATCGGGATAGATCTTATGATCTTCCATTTTGTGTTTTCGGGGGGAAAAGGTGTTGATCTCCTATTGTGATCTGAAATAGGCATCATTGTGTTGACCCATTACGAAAACCAAGGAACGAGCCTCCGTTCAAGTAGAGGATCGCCATCTTTCTTTGATCTTGGAGAAAACCACATGTCTTTTACTTGAGCATGGCATTCTCCGCGGTATCCCGTTAAAGCCCCCCCCCCCCCTTTTGCTATAAATTGGTAGGGCCGCCAAAGCCCATGGGGTCGGTCAAGCTACATCCTGGCACCTTGTGCAAGTCGAGATATATCCCACTTCCGTTCGATCTTCCCCTCCCATTGATAGTGAATGGACGTCCGTTTTTCCGCCGAGTTCTAGATTTATACCATCATGCTTCCACTGTTCTTGGTATGTGCTCTGCTAGCACAACAGACTCTAGCATTCTCTAGTCAGCACAGGAACACCGAGAAACCCTTGCCATATCTCCTCCGTGCCGGCAGGGACTCTCACAAGGGGAGCTACCAGATACCTAGCGCTGTGCAAAATGGAACAAGCAAGGCTCAGTTTGACATCCAAACGCCAGCAGGCACTCTTGATATAGACACCCTCTTCCGTCTCGATGCACCCCAGATAGATCTAATCAATAGTTCCGTGTTCGACTGGTGGTATTTTGATGCCGTCTCGGAGACAAACCCAGATGATTCTCTAGTCGTCACATTCTTCTCCTCGTCTGCGGAAGCCTTTCCATTCCTCGATACGAACGAAACCTCTGTGCTCAGCGTTTGGCTATGGGCTTCGTTCGCCAACGGCACCGTCTTTACCGATTACGTCCCGGCAACTGCGGCTACTGTGACTGGGCTAGAGGCCGAGGGCACTAACAGCTCCGGCGAGTGGTCCTCCACGGGCTTTAGCTGGGTTGCCCTCACAGAGAATCTATCTCAGTATGAGATAATCATCTCCTCCGAGAAGCTCCAGGTCGAAGGGCGGCTTACTCTGACTTCGGTAAGTAGTGACCTGCAAGGCAGAAACAAGCAGCTTGCTGAATTTGCCCCGCAGCAAGTACCGCACCATCTGCCCTGCGGAGTTCAAGCAAAGCGGTCTGTACTTGAGATTGCGCCTCATCTCGGATGGGTCAATCTCATACCCGACGCCATGGCTGAGGTCGACATGAAGATCCACGGATCGACGCTGAAGTTCCGAGGGCCTGGGTACCATGACAAAGTAAGTGACTTGACCGCCTGACCCCCGGACAGGAAGATTGAGAAAGATTCAGCTGACCGGGTTTACAGAATTGGTCTGATCGGCCCTTTACGGACTCTGTCCGCAGCTGGTACTGGGGTCACGGCCGTCTAGGGCCATACTCGATTGTGTGGTTCAGTTACCTCGCGATTGATGACCAATTCAACACCACGTATGTGAGTAGCTACGTTGCCAAAGATGGAGAGTTGCTCATATCGGCCTGTGACCCCTCTATCCTGACTGTGAGGCCGATTGGTAGTCCAGGGACTACTGGTGGGCGATATCCGCCACGCGTGGGTGATTTACCTGAAGGATTTCGATTGGTTTTTGACCTCGGAGAGGCAAACGGGCAGTTGAAAGTTAATATCTCGGTGCGAACAGTTGTCGCAGGGAATGGAAAAGATTATATGCGATGGACAGGAGACATGGTTGGGGAGGTAATCGAGTCTGAGAGCCATCAACCACAAGACGCCGGTGGTAGTGGCCCCAAAAAAGAAACGAGACAACGTGAAGTACAATCATCTTCTCAGTCATCTCTTGTTGGTGTTGCGGTTTTAGAGCAATTTGCTATGGTGGAATAGAAAATGTGGAAGATGGGCTTTGTTAGAGAAAGTCACAATATGTTCATAGGAAATATACCAAAACGATGGGCTTGAAATGAATCCAACTTATATAAAAGAAAGAAATGGAAGTCCAACGGCGCGAAGGGAAAGAGGAACCCAAAATAATCCACGTCAGACGACATGAGAAATTTGAACGAAAGAGATTGGAAGAAATGAGGATGGTCGAAACATTACTGAGCAAGTTGCTTAAATTTCCACTCTTTGACCAGACCCCGGTAATCCTCCGGACCATATGACTGGAAGCACTGGGCCAGCAAGCCATGCTTGCGCTGAGGTGACAGGCCCAACTCTCTTAGCATCAGATCAACATATGGGATCGCGTCAAACACGAAGTCGGGGTTTCGCCGTCCGAATCCTCCCGGGTATCGAAATTTGCCGAATTCAGTAAAGAGAGCAGTTTCCCAGGCAAGGTCGATTTGGGATGTATCTTCTGTCTTGAGATCAGAAATAGCACGCACGGCGAGTGGGCAGCTTTCGCGTGTAGCTGGGGTCAAATTGCCCTTGAAATAAGCTGAAATCCATAGTGCCTGGGTCTGAGCAATCAGTGTGGTGTTGATGGTCATGGTGATACCCATGAACGCCAGAGAGCGTTCCTTCACCAGCGAAAGTGGGACCATAAACTTCGCCAGTCGGAAGGGATGCGGTACAGCCGCCTCGGACTGGTCGTTTAAGGGTGTGTAGTGGGGGTTCGGCGTTGGTTGATCACGCAGTCGGGGGAATCGGCGCAAGATCTCTTCATCCGCTTCTTTAACCAGGATTTCACTCAGCGGATCCACACTCCAAGGGAATCCCAGCTCGCGGTCAATCCCTTCCGGCAGGAACTTGAGGTTTGGCGTGCAACGCCAGCCCGTCGAACAGATAAGTGCTGAAGATGGCAGAGTATCACCCGAGGACAGATGAACAGTGTGATCTGAGAGACGCTCTAGATCCGCGATGTGCACCCTGATAGTGCCATCCTGGATCAAATCAAAGAAATTGGTCGGATAATTCAGAATGCTTAGCGAGGAAGCGATCCAAAAAGGGCCCACCCAAGGCTTCAACTTCTTCGTCTCCGGGTGCTTGTCGTACCCATTCAATTGCACGACATCATTGGCGAGAATAGCCCAGAATGTGTCCACGATCTTACGACCCAGCCAGGTACCATGCATGAAGCTGCGAACACCAGTATACCCATCAGCCTCTCCCCAGATACATGGACTGAACCAGGTCAGTAAACGTGTCGTGACCAGTTTTTCCAGCCACCTTTTAAAGGGCGTCACGTAGGGAGGAACCATCCAAACCGGTCCATGGCCGGACTCGCGAATGATCCAGTCTACTTTCATACCTGCCGTGGCGCAGGCATAGGCCGCATCCCAGGCTGACTTTGTCCCGCCAAAAACGGTTGCGCGCTCTCCAGATTGAAGCACTGCATCTTGATACTGCAGTAGATCGCGACAGTGGAAAACCGGCGCACCAAAAAGCTCCTGGTCCTTGAACGTAGGCAGGTATGCCTGTGACGTGATACCAGTGGCCACAATCATCTTCTTGGTATCGATTGTTGTCGTATCCGCTCCGTGCGACACGCTCAACTGCCAAGTTCCGTCCAAATTGTGTCGTGCGCTTTCCACATGGTGCTCCAGTCGAATACAATCGGCAAAGCTAAAGTGTTGTACATAGGCCTCCATGTACTTTTGAATTACATGACCCGGAATATGCTGTCCCGGCTTGATACCAAATGTCGCTTCGTCCATAGGAAAGTCGCTATACTCATACGTGCCCAGCATATTGTTGGACTTGAGGCCTTTGTATAAACGATGCTTAGCCCAAACTCCACCAACAGAGCTCGCAGCTTCTAGCAAGAGCACACTGTGGCCGGGATTGACCTCTCGGTAGGTCTTGATGGCGGAGAGTCCACTCCAACCTATTGGTAGCGAATGTCAGCGAAATAGTTTGCCTTAGTGAAGTCTCAACTTACCTGCGCCTACCACCACAAGATCCACGGCCTCCATTTTTGAAGAGTCCCTCACTTTCTTTTTTTGAAGGAGTAGAATATAGCCGATTGCGCGACCAGGATTGAGGCACGAGTTTATGTACAAACAAACACCAGCGACACCAGACTACCGGAAACGAAGGAATGAGTGACTACTAATAGTATTAGCGTCACGTACTTTGTTGAGAGAAAGAGAGAGAGGGGGGGGTATTAATTTCAGCCCTTGCTGTTGCGAGGCAAGATGGAATGGTGGGACTATTAAGTTAGCTCACCTAGAAAAGCCTACCAGTCTCCACAAACTTCAGCATCCTTTGTAATTCCCGAGAGATCGTGGAGAAGAACCCGAAACATTTAAAGGGAGATCTCAAGCTGATGATTCTATAACGGTATAATTATAGCTACGAAATACCCGTAGACCTCGTCCCAGATCTAGACCTATCTGGGTAACAGACTACTACCTGGCATGCACTTGTGTACTTTGTACTCTGTAGATTCTTTAGTGTTACCAGGAACTCTTCCAGAGAATTCGTAATATCACTGTAATTTTTTTTTTTTTTATTAGCTTTGCTCCGTCGTTTGACTATTTTAGCCCTGCTGTCCAAGCGTGGCTAGGCCCAGGATCGTCGGTTCTTCTAACCTTAGGTCTTCATTTCAACGGCTTTCAGGGTAGGCAGGTTGGGAAGTGTAGACAAAACTCCACTATAATTTTAGATAGGTTTGGACACAGGGTGGCTGGCGTTTGGATTTGCTAGTTTTGTATCAGAAAAGGAAACCAAAAGTCGGGACCAACAAATGCAGGTGGCCTTTTACTCGGTTGGTATCTCAATCCGACTACAGGCTGTTGTCCAGGAAAACCGATTAATTCAATGCACATCTTTTGACACGAATACAACTTTGTACAAGGCTCACACTCGCCGCTTGGGAAATCGAAGAAAACCGAACTGCCCGTTACATCTTCGTACAAGGACCCGCTTTGGGGATCCACCCCTGTCGCTGGCAGCGGAATCTACCGCTGTCGTGAACAAAGTCTGGACTTTTGGCATGAAAAATGGCATGTTTCAGGAGGGGCTATACGCAAGGTTAAGGTTGATAGGTAAATGGAAGCCGTCAACCCCCGAATTCGGACCGGAACCCGTTGCCGGATGAAGTAGTTATACCTCCTAGAATAGTTTGGCGCAATACCCCCAACAAACGGCATCTCGGTTATTGATTAAACGGCGACTGGCCTGAGCGCCCGATCGCTGATTGCAAATTTTCTGTTACCCACGGAGTACGGATTACATATCCTCGGAGCAATCTCCGGCCTGATCAGCAATCAAACCAACCCAAAAGAGAATGTGGATAGGAGAAATCGAGGCATACCCATTGCAACAGCATTGTATGGCTTGTTCCCCTAATGACCAAACGTTGGCCAAAATGCGCAAGCTTTATGCCACTGCACTACTCCGTACATCTGTCTTTGCGATCCGTTTGCACGTCATATCCGGTAGATTGTAGGGAAGAGATCCTTGCTAGCATTGCGGTTGGCTACTGCTTCTCAAAAATGGCCCAGTTGACATAGTGCCTGAGTGTAGCGCTGGTGTGTAACCGACCTGATTACTAGATCAGACAGAGTGAGTTCTATCAGGGTTACCTCCGTACTGGATCCAAAACTTGCTCTTTTCCTCGGAACATTCCCCCAATAGGGAGTGTCATACGGACTCAGGGGAGATGTGGACCTTTTGAAAGCCGGTTTACATTTCCAGGAACCAGTAATCTGGGAGTGGGACAAACGGTGCTTTTGACCTTAAACTCCTCCCCGGCACGTCGAAGGACCCGTAGCATGCGCCTAGCACCAAAGATGGTCCATCGCCAACCAATGAGACTTGTAGATTTCGCTACTCTTGCATGAGTAGTCTGGGACTTGTCATAAATTCTCCTTATGCGTGAGAGTATCTCCATAACAGATGGGGCTTTTGATTCGGCTTAATGTAAGCCACAGTAAATAGGCCCGACAGACATTTGATATCGAATTGATTCTTGCTTTTTTCTTTTCGTCGTTGATGTTGATAAATCAACCAGCAAGCCAACTTGGCTCTTTATCCGGTCTGATTCCAATAGTAACGAGCAAAACCAAAGGTGGTCACTGAGATACTGCCCTCTGCCGCTCATCTCCCCCCCCCCCCCACCCCCCCCTCGGTGCAATTGTCTTTTTTCCCTTTTTCTGAATGGACACACTGGATCGAACGGTCTTCCCTTTGAACTTGATGGCATATAAAACAAAGATATCACTGCAACTCGTCAACTATGGATGGGTTTAATACCGAAGCGTTCACTTTGTTGGGAGTCGCCATTGTCATCATTGCCCTACGAACAACCGCAAGATGGATTATGGTTGGCCCAAAAGGCTTCCAAGCTGATGATTATCTAATGCTGGTGGCATGCGTGAGTTGAATTAGAACCTGTGGATTCTTTACTTTTTAATCTTTCCTAATCAGCATGGATATAGGTGGTGTATGGGCTAGAAACCGGTGCTGCGTACATGGTCAGCGCCTGGTTTAAAGGTCTTGCCAATAACTCGATGACGGATGAACAGCGGCAACAATTATCGCCCAATTCGGAAGAATATCGTCTGCGTGTGGGTGGTTCTAAGGTCCAGGTGGCCGGCTGGTCATTGTACACTCTTTTATTGTGGTTGCTGAAAACATGCATGGCTATTTTCTACTCTCGATTGACGTGAGCCTTCATTCCGGCTCATCTCTTCTGCTCTTTGAAACTAACGGATATCTTACTTTCTAGCGCAGGCTTAGTGAATATGCGAGTCCGAATCTATCTAGCCTACGGTCTGATCACCACCACTTACATCGCTACGATCTGCTCGATTCTCTTTGGATGCCATCCAATGGACAAAAATTGGCAAATCTATCCAAACCCCGGGAGTACGTCATCCAATCTCGAAGGATTCTCATCTGGAGAGCCTGTTTTATCTGATTATTCGTTAGATCATTGTCAGCCGGCGGTGTCCAAGATTGACGTCTATGTGACCGTGGTACTCAACGTTGCGACCGACCTTTATCTCATCAGTATCCCAGCTCCGGTAAGCCTTTCGCTAGACATTTGGGTGGAATGTTGCTAACAACATATCCGTCAAGATGCTTGTCAAGGCGCGACTAAAATGGCGTGAAAAACTCGAGCTCCTGGTTCTTTTTAGTGGTGGGTTGTTTGTAATGATGGCTGGTATCCTGCGTTGTGTTCTCATTTTGACGGTGAGTCGTCTGGAGAACGACATGCTCGGATAAGAAAATCTAATCGTTTACCAGGCTGGCGCAAATGGAGCTCAACAAGCTGGCAGCTGGGCTTGCCGCGAAACTTTCGTTGCCGTCGTCATCGGAAATATTCCCATGATATACCCGTTGATTAGACGATTCACAAGACGGGCGGGTCTATATATTTCATCACGAGGGGACTCAGAGAGCTACCCTGGGTATCCTCTATCCGATGTCGACACTAGTGGCGGGTATTCCAGACGCAAGAAGTTCCTCCATCCACTGTCAATTCCCACAGACACTCTATGGAATACGATCAGCGATGAGCAACTGATCTTCCCTACCTCACGACAACAACCCCCAACATGCACTGCAGGCAACGGCGACTGGGATTCCCATAGCCAGGGTACCCAGGGTGGAATAAAGGTTGTCCATGAAACAATTGTTCATCGCACCGAGAAGTCTCCTCGATTATAGTACGAAGATGATTAGTTCTAATAATCAGACGGACATTTTTCATTTTCTCCGTTCTGTTGATTGAGTATTTGAGGGTTGGCATGTTTCATGATTTGAATTATTTCTGTTGCAAAGATTTTTATACCCCCTTTCTGCCCGGCTGGTGTCAAGTACTTGCTTTTTGTTTCAAATCCAAAGCAACTCGGAGAACTACATCCAGTTTCATCCATGAAATTTGCAACTTGACACCGTAATCTTTGAACCCGTTTCCGAATCAACAGACGGGTTGTGATTTGAACACAGGCTCGTGGACATTGTTACACAAAATTTGGATTTGACCAAGCGGATACAAATTTCCATTCCCTTAATTCCAGCAATCTTGTCAAGTCTTGCAACGAGTGTTGGATAGTTGGATTTGAACCCGATCGAAGTAAGTATGCAAGGAGGATGTCGACCGAGGATGAAGTTAAAGGGGGAAAATCATGGATATTGACTACCCAGGAAGAAGGGAAATTTCATCTGTAACAAACCAAATGGAGGCTGTTGCAGCTAGGTAGTGATGCAAGTGATGCGGTGGGCTTCTATTTATGCAGGTGGACGGATGGGTTGTTTGAGCTGAGACCACTAGGCGGTCCCCCACGAGAGTACTTTCTGTAAGCCTTGAATTGTTTTAAGGGTACTTGTGTTTTGTTTCTCTCGCATGTATCTGCGCTGTTATTCCCTAGCTTATTCAACAACGGGACATGACCCATCTCAGACCTGCAAGTTGAACCTCTGTATATTTGGTCTCACCACGTTCATAGTGTCACCTGCAAAGGAGTTCGTGGAACAATGCGGGTTGGATCAAATACCCCGGAAATGCGAGTGTATGATATAACATGCATTGAAGTTTTTCAATATTCCTGTAATCTTCTAGTAGCAACATCAAACCCATTGATGATCCAAAAGATGCAATCTTTCATTTCTGATGGTGGAGCAAGTTAATACACCACAGACCCCAACAGGGAGTACGGAGACATCAAATAATGTAAATCCACATAGGGACTATCATGTACGTTCGGGGCAGTCCCAGTTCGAAAGAAGGTATTTCGGAATAGTGATATGTCTCATTTGAAATTCCTTGGCATCTTCCGTTCCGTGTTCATTAATGCAGAATGAGAGTAGATTCAGGGGCATATGCGACAGAGATTCTGGCTCGGTGAGTCTCTATCTGATAACCGGAAGGGGTTCGGCTATTATGTACTACAACGCGTATCGGAAAAAGGGATTCTGCTTGTCGGTCAGGTCGTCGAATGCAATCTTGTCTCGCTGCACCTCATCCAATTCCAAAGATTCTCGAATTCTGTTTTCCCGCCGAAGGACAAGATACAACACGACTGCGGCAGTAATTGTAATGCAGTAGCTACAAGTGGTTAGATCGGCTGAGGGAAAAAAAAAAGTTCAGATATAGACAGACCAGATAATCATTCCAGTCCACAATTCTGGATAATGTTGTGACTTGGTGTTGCTTTTCACAAGCTGTGGCCCGATGATGTTGCCGATAGTGTATGCCACAAACACGGTTGCTGCCATGACAGTTTTCTTCGTGGCCCCGGCAACATTGCTAGCTCCAACTGCGATGACCAAGCTGACCACGGGCCCAAAGAAGCCGGTGAGTGCATAGCCAATGACTGGAATAACTGGGTGATATGCCCATTGGGATTTCCAAATCATCGCACAGCCAGCAATGACAGGTAAACAGCAGGTAATGAGCAAGGGTATGCGGATATTAGGGATAACAGTAGAAATATAGCCACAGAGGGGAATGAAAATGACACAAATGCCGCCGACGGGAAACTGGAATAGAATTGAATGAAGGGTATCATAACCGAATGTGGAGACAATCAGCGGCCCAAAGCCCGAGATAGCACCATTGATAGTGTACCTAGATATAAAGATGTGAAAATCAATGAATTTATGGTGCCTGATATCATAGGCTGGGTGATAAACGAGAAAACTTACGCTGCCGCCATCATGATGGCCACCAGGTAGATCTTTATGTCCATCACAGACTCTTTAATTTGATTGAACTTGATCTTCTGGCACCGAACACCAGTTTGTCCCTTGCGCAGTCTCTCAACAGCAACCCTCCGTTCTTCTGGGAGGAGGAACCAGGCAGAAACCGGAGAGTTAGGCATGGTGCAACACCAGAGGCCAACAAAAAGGTCAAGGCACCAGCCAGGAGATAAATGTACTGCCATCTTTTTAATGATCCAGCTGTGATTTGGCCAAACCCATAGTTCAGAGCGCCACCAATGATGGTGAACCAACCAGTGCCAGAGAACCACCATGCCTGCCGAAGAGCTTGCTCCTCTTGTGTGTACCATCCACTAACTATGGTCATGAAGCCCGTAGGAATAGCACTTTCGATGAAGCCTATCTTCTATAAGACAAGTGTCCAGTAATATTCATTCAAGGCAAACTCACCAAGGAAGAATCTTTGCACGAATAGTCCGTGCCAGGTTGACACACCAGCAGTGGCAGCACAGACAATGGCCCACGTCAGAACAACTGGACCGAGAACAGTTCGAGTGTTAAACCTTTGGAGGATAAATGTCATTGGGTAGAGACCAGTAAGCATCCCAAAATAAAAGATTGATGTTGCCCAGCTGAGGCGTGAAGTATCAACAGATGGAGGAGTAGTGGAATTGTCTTTCACTAGCAATCCCAAGTCGGTCGTCATGCCAAAGAGTGTAGCACTACCTAAGATAGCCTATGTAAAGTTAAGCAAGTACTGGCTAATGGAGATATTAGCCTAGTTATCGTACCTTGTCATAGTAGACCATGCCATAGCCTGTGCTCAAGTTAGTCAACAATTTCCAGGTCACAGATGTGATATGTGCTACTAACCGACAAGCATAGCAGGCATCAAATACAAATCGATCTTTCGTAGAACCCTTTTTTCCACTACCGGGTCAATTTCTTGGGCGAACTCGCCCACCACCGCCAATGCTGCATCTTTGTCGGATGAGACATGGGGCGATTCACCGGGACTAGTTATGCCATGGACCTGAATCATGTTCTGAACACCAGGGGCTCAGCGGACCGTTACAGAGGCCTTAAAAAGGTTTACGTCTTAGCAACTCGAGATATGAGCGATTTAAAAGTGTGAGATGAGAGAAAATTGGGCTTTTTGACTTCGTACCTTCCAAATTGGGATGCCCGATATCGCGGGGCTTAACCACTGCCGCCTTGAAATTGCGGCAGAATTGGGGGAAAGCGGTTAGCCGCGGATGAGACACTCCCGAGACCAATCACTCGCCCAGATAGTAGTACTGAGCATTCTTGAGTTGAGGATGCCTTCTACATGTGTTCTCAGTGTTGTCAACAGAGAAATTCTTTTGACACTATCATCATTGATATTTGTCAAACCTATGGATTTCAAAAGCATTGTTTGAATATTCCATAGATTCCCTTGAATCCGACACATCTTCCGACGAGGCCTAAGTTTCGATGTGCGTATCGCCGGTCCTTGCTGAAGACCAAGTCAGAAAGATGTTAAGAGAGCTTTGACAATGTAGATTAGTTTAGATGCAATTTCAGGGCTCCCGGGGGGATCAATCCGCCCCTATCCATCGATTCGAAGGATCTCAAACTCCCATACATGCCACTGCTCTTGAATAATCTTCGAATCCAATGAGATTGTATGGCAACGAGACAGGTGCACAGCGAAATGCTTCGAATTGCCTCATTCTAGAACATCCGGCCTATCAAAATAAACTTCTCTTTGACCTTGGATGGTGTCAAATAAAGCTGGAAGACGGTGAGAGAAGGGAAAATGCGTTGTCGCGGCGTTCTGGTAGCACGTTACAATATCGCTATGTGAACAGGAAGCCCATTAGGTGTTGATGATCCATTTAGATGGTTTGACAGGCTAAGACTGCCTATAAAAAAATATTTAGAATGGATGAAAACGATTGGATTTTCATCAATTCGAAGTTCTCGCTCGTTTTTGTTCGTGTGTAGTTGCGAAAGAGCAAAGGAGTTGGAAACACAGCAGAGTTCAGCGAGATAAACAGGACTGTTGACATAGAATAAAAGAAGAAAAGAAGAGGAAGAGAGCGATGAAAAAGAGAACCCTATATCTACTGTGGTGTGTCACTTGTCAATACCTCAGACACCAACGGTTGACTAAAGGTTTACCACTAGGGGATCGGAAACACAAACTTCCAAGGTTGGGATGGGAAGCACGTCGTTTAAATAACAGCTGGTGAGGGCCTTGGCAGAGAGCGGATTGATCCATCTGAGTTTAACCCATTTAGTGGCCATTGCCGCATATTTTCTAAGTATATTTCACAAACATTGGAGCCATCTCGTAGAGCCAACCTTCTAGACACAACTTGAAACTTATGGGCATGGTTTCTGAAAGGTGCCAGCAATGGCACGGGTCCTACCTACCCCATAAGTGCGAAAATTGAGCACATCTGCACGATTAGACATGCTCACCCTCAACATCGGCAGGGGGTAGGCGAGGCTCAGGCAGCCCAAGTCGTGTGCAATCTCTCCGGTCAGGCCTTTTCACGTGTGTTTTGGCCATCTCTATGTTATAGATAGATGGCGGAAGAAAGGGAAAGAAATGGCTTAATTTGTGATATGGACAGTCCTTTCAATACAGGCTTTACCTACAGGTACTGAAATGCAGGGATGATTGATTTAATGGCCAAGGAATCATATGCACTAGGCAATGTGAACATAGGGTTTGTAAAAGTGGGGGCTTAAAATCCCAATCCACACCAGATGCTATCTCCAAATTATCCATGATCCATTTGGCGTCATTTGATCTGAACCAATCCAGTTGGAATGTTTGTGATCGATCGAGAGAGTTGTAGCCTGGTTTCTAAATACATACTATACTAACTTTGACCCTTAGGGCGAAACTGTCCAAGGTTCTTTGCCGTATCATATGAACCACCTTGCTCTACATTGTACAATTAGACCTCCTTTTTAACGGTATTGAGGTTTACTTCTAAAACTATAGAATAGGTTACAGACTGGGCCTAGTCGGTACCATATTGATCGTCGGCGTAGAGAATAATAGATCCAATGCTAGATACGCTTCGTGTAGCGTAAACTATTACGCACATTAGAAGGGGCAAAAACAAAAGGACGAATGTTGTAACTAACTACAACGTAGGTATTCGCTTTTCTTAACAAGACTCTGGGATATCGTACAATTATGACTTAGCCCATTGCAATGTTCGAAAAGGCTTGCAAGGTTGTATGGCTGTCCCGTGGTTGAAAGGAAAGAAAAAGTCGGCAATCAAAGTTCGTCAAGACGCCCATTTGATAAAAGCTGGCATCTGACTTGTATTTCTTTTGGTCTTTTACTTTTATGAGGTCATGCATTTTTGTCTCATTCTTAGATCCACTGCTGCCTTGTCACACAGTCCACTATAGCAACTATTTTCTTCTATTGCCATCAAAAACAGGGGCTTTTCCGAGATCGGCAATTGTGAATGACATGATCCCTTCTAGCCCTTCATGCAGTGATTTTTTTTTCGTTTAGCCGGAAGACGGCAGCTTAGCAGTATACCAGTGTTTAAACTTGGCTATTTTTATCCAAACGCTGGGGGACAATACCAAGGTACCTCTTTTCGTGTAGTCCCACCCGCCTGGCAACGAGGTTCAATCAGAGTTGCGAAGTCCAATGGTGTTTTATGGAAGAAGTTGAACTTCCGTTCCATCCGAAGGCAGAACAACCGGAGCCTCTTAGAGAACAAGATCGGCGGACAGTGTATGGAAAAGGTACATTGCCACTTTCAATCGGACCACGTACCTGTACTATGGACAACAGGCTCATAGAGGGCTAGGGTCCACATCTGTCTCTGTCTCAGCCAGTAATCGTTGTCGATGCTCGAATCTGGTTTTCAAGTGGGGCAAAAAGCATGGTCTTTTTTACTCCACGAGCCAAAGAAATGGATCTATGTTAAAGATGATGTCAACTATGTGCCTGGTTCAGACCTTCAATGCTCAACTCAACAAGACCAAGACCTTGGTCCGCTAGGTCTCATCCACGGACAATGCCTAGCATCATGCCGATTCCTTTTTTTTTTTTGCTGTTTTGGCTCAGGGAATTTGGACGGTACTTGCTGGAATATGCATTATTGCCCGCATGATATAAAAATTGGCCTCCCCCACACTCACTCTATCACATTTATCTCTATCGCATCTCTGCTATCAGATATCAAGTTCGAGGGATTTTTATAATCGATCTCAAAGGGCATTGGATTCATTCGCTAACTAAACATCCCCTTCACATCCACTAACCAATCATCATGATGAAGAATTTCATCACTATTGCTGCCTTCGCTGCTGGCACAAACGCCCGCGTTAGCCGCAATAACAGCTGCTGCTTCCACCTCACCTCTTCTGGTGGTGCCTCAGGCAAGCTTGGGCAGCTAAGTGACGGCCAGAACCGCATTGGCGACAACAGCCTGTCGGCTGCTCAATACTGCATCGATTCTGAGGGTGCTATCACCGACTCCAAGGGCCGTGGTTGTATTCTCACCCGTAAGTGAAATTATCAAAGATCATATACAAGACACGTCTCACTAGATAATAGCTCCCACTACTCAGTTACAGTGTGACGAGGGTGTTTCTCCAACACCCGGCTTCTCTCTAAGCTCTCAGGGTGAGCTCGAGTACCACGGCAGCAAGGACTTCGTTGCCTGTGCTACGGGACAGAACGGCGGTCTGAATGTCTACACTACCCCCACTAAATCAGATGTCACCGGTTGCGTTAACGTGAAGTTGACTGCGGACTCCTGCTCAAGCTCTGGCTCTGCCCCTGTTCCCTCGGTCCCCATTGAGTCTCCTCTCCCCGGCTCTCCTGTTACTGTGGTGAGCACCATTAGTGCCACTGCCCTCGGTGGTGGCGGTGGTACCGGTAGTAGTTCAATCGAGCAGCCCTCATCTTCTGCTAGTGTGCCTAACCCATCAGGTGGCGGTAGTGGCTCACAGCCCAGCGGTTCTGCCAGCTCTGATTTTACCACTCCTCCAACCACGGAGCCTTCCAGCAACGCCTGCCCTACCATCCTCGCCACTGGTAGCTACGAGTATCCCCACCTGATTGTCCCTGTTGACTCCTCCTCGCCTAACACTGCGGCTGGTACTTCCTATAATGGCACCGTCAGCTCCACTATCTCGAGCGCGTTCAACTTCGATATTCCCTCATCGGACTCGGGCAAGATTTGCAGTCTGGTCTTCCTCTTTCCCGAGCTGCAGGACCTCGAGACTTCGTCATTTAGCTTCACCGGTGACGGCAAGATTGACTTCGCCAAGCTCTCTTCCGCTGTGGATAAGTCCACCACCTTCAACAACCTGCCTTCCGTATCCCAGGACCTTGGCAGTATCACCATGTCTCCCGGCAACTCGTACATTATCTCCACCTTTTCTTGTCCCGCCGGTGAGACGGTGGCATACGAGATGAAAAACTCTGGCAGCACCGACCTGAACTTCTTTGAGGACTACAATCCTTCTCCGTATGTTCTCTTTTCTCCTATTTCCTACCCGGACACCAGTTAACAATATCTGCAGTCTCGGTCTGTACATCACCACTTGCTAAATTAGCACTTGTGAAAATCGGCAGTTTGTCACCATGGACATGAGTTATCCCGGGCCTTCATCATGCCTTTATTTCCTTTGATACCTCACGTTGAAACATTGATGCCTTCTTTTATCTGATCAATGCTCTTTGTTTCATGTGATTCGACCTAAACGGTGTCCACACGGAAGCAATCTTGGAAGACGGACTGCTGGATGTGGTCAGATGAGAATATTGTCACATCCGGTTGATGCTGTAATTGAGGTGGATTCACAGAGAGTCGACATTCCTTTGGTTTGTGTGATGCGTAATGTTTTGAATCAAATCCTGTACTATCAATCTTGTTTTTTGTAAAATGTAACATGATGGACCTCTCTTCACTCCCGCTGTGGTCCTTGATGGCCTTAATGTCTTTTCCCCTGAGTCTATTTGGAGCCGTCTAGGGAGCCAGATTGTCCTTGGCAATTTTCAGCAATTGTGTTGACTCCTTTTGATCACTCTTTCTTGCTTCCGCTGAGTTAGCCACCCAGAGTAGGTGCATCATATTTCAAGTCTCGTAGGCTATCCTTTTTCAAGCGAAGCGTCTGTGGTAGTTGCTGTCCACAATCAACATCTAACTAATTCGATGCATTCCGTGAATATATCGTTAAGAAAAATCTCCATTGTGATCTGGCAGATAATGTAGGATGCAACGAGCCTTGATCCCCGCTTGACGCTACACTAGGATGCCGGGAAATTTTTGAAATGACCGGACCCAAGCCGTATGTGGAGTCAAGAATTTATGTGACAGTGACAATCTTATCTTGCACGTTGAATGATTGAAAACATTGCCAATCTTTGCCATTCCGAACTGGCGCTAGGTGTCAGCTGTCCACGGGGTCCACACACGAGCTCATCTGCCTGTCTGGGAGTCCACGAGCTTCAAGTTCCCAGTAATAGCACATCAGTAATCGACAGGGAATAAAAGATAGGGTTCTTCTCGCCAGAATCGCAAGTTCCTAGTTAAAAATGCCTAGAAAGAGGAACTGTAAAACAGGGAGGGAAGTGGGAGAAGCTACCCAGATACCGAGGTTGACCGCTCGGGCGATCATCTCATATTAATCAGCTTGACGTTGAGACATTAAAAAACCCCGAGGTCCTTCACCCCGCCATTTCCAAACTTCCAACTTCTCTTTCGCATCTCTCTTCTGTAATCTTCACATCCATAACAAAATGACTACACTCAAGTCCGGCGACGCGTTCCCTAGTGACGTTGTCTTCAAGTGGGTAAAACCCCCAACCCCGCAATGGATGACGCTGATCTCTCTAGTTACATTCCATGGAGCGAGGAGAGTGGTGAAATTACCTCCTGCGGCATCCCCATCAACTACAATGCCTCGCAGGAGTGGTCCAACAAGAAGGTCGTCTTGTTCTCAGTTCCCGGTAAATAGATCTTGATGTTACCCTCTAGTTAAAAAGCAGAATCCTAACCTGTGTGTGAACCCAGGTGCCTTCACTCCTACCTGTTCCATCAACCACGTTCCAGGATATATCCAGAACCTGCCCAAGCTCCGCGAGAAGGGTGTTGACATTGTCGCAGTCATTGCTTTCAACGATCCGTTCGTGATGAGTGCCTGGGGCAAAGCGAACGGAGTTCGCGGGGATGAGATCGTGAGCACAACCCTACTTTACACATTTCTGCGACTAGCATTGATTTTCTTAAATAGCTTTTCCTCTCAGATCCCGATGCCAAGTTTTCTAAGAGCATTGGCTGGGCCGACGAGGCGTCGGGCCGTACAGGCCGGTATGCGATCGTCATCGATCATGGTAAGGTCAGCTATGCCCAGATCGAGACCGAGAGGGGTGTTGTAAAGGTAAGGAATTTCACCCTTCATTTCCGGTCCTCCTGGTGGCTAACAGGTCACTTTGCTTATAGAAGTCTGGCGCTGATGCGGTTCTGGCTTCCCTTTAAATATTCAACATTTAGAAAAACCTCTGATTGCTCCCAATTCAATTATAAATGTCGTTTGAAAGATTTCGTTGCGAGTTGAGGACCCTCCTACAATACTTTAGAAGGTACAGCCTGGGTCACTACATATCCACGGTGTGGATCGGCGTATTTCAATTAGAACATTTTCAGCAATGAGCTTAATACCTGTCTCGAACTTGAATTAAAAAAAAGGTAAGAGGTGTATTCAACCTTCTACGATACTCCAAGTCTTGCGCTGAGATACTTGTGAAGAATTTGTAAAGAATAAGAAGGAGATCTAGGTAATGCAAAGCTTTCAGGTGGTATCATCGAGTTAAATGCTGGGAAATGCAAGCCGAAAGGGTGCGAACAAAGGGGAAAAATCAAAAATGCGACAGAGCACGGTCGTGAAGATACAACTCCAGCCCAGCATTGACACAGTCTATATGCAAAGGCTCGGCAGCTTGATATACTTTGGCTTTGATCGTATCTTCAGACCCATCCGGTCCGGAGCTAACAAGCTGACCATCGTCATCAGACGGGACAATTTGGAATGCACCCTCGATATCGATACGCTTGAGTTTAGGGAAACGAGCCCGGCAATTTTTGATTACGGTCTGTACCTGGGAAACCAACATTCCCAGATATCGCTCTTCACATCCTTCAATGTAAAGAGTCTCAATCGACGACGGGAGACAGTCCATGAGAGGTGTGGTTGGTTCGTTGTGGTATCGAATGTCCAAAAGATTTGGCAGTCTCACTCGAACTTCCCGCAAGGCAGTGAAATCAACAAGGGAACCGAACCACTCGTCATGGGATTGGTTCAACCCGGCAGCGGTGAATGGATAGTGGCTGCCATAGTGGTCCAGCCACAATCTTTGCAGGCTTTTTTTGCTGTGCGCCAGAGAGCGATAGAAGGCGGACGGTTGGTACCCATGCGAAAGGACGTGCGAGTCCGAGTGCTGGTACTTAAATGACTTCAGATCGGCGCATGAACTAACTAATATCTCCATGCCATGGTTCCCACTACTTGCACGCAAATCAATGTCGGTGATCGAGGAGAAGCCAAGGCGTGGTCTCTCAGAATCCGTTCGTTCCTCAGAAGGCAGATTGATCGAGGTTGGGTCCACTATAGAGTTGGCTGTGATTGCACGAAGAGACGGCAGTTGAAAAAATGGCAGGAGGAGGGTTGATGGTAGTTGAGTCTCAGCTCCCACATCGCCCAGGTGCTCGCCGCGATCGAGATCTTCTCGGTAATGCAATGAGACCTCGCGTAGGTGCCGGAAAGCCGGTTCAACAGAAAATGGCTGTTTGCAATCGACGGCCCTTTGCATAATCCGGTCCAAATATGGAGAGTTTGTCATATAGGCCAGTGAAAGCTTTTGGAGCTGACTTAACAATGGGAGAATGAGCGCAATCCAGGCGTCAGAAACGCCTTGTTCGAGGCGTTGGACCCATTGATCACTTTCATGAGTTGAGTGCGATACCTCATTCAGCCATGGCCTCAAAGATGCAGAAGTCTGGATTTCGTTGCGTTCGTCGTCCGATACGCTTCTTGCATGCCAGTCTGTTAGGTCTAGCTCTCGGACGGCCCGCGCCAGCGCGGGTCGTTTCAGCATAGCCTGCAGGAAGGAATTGGCGTCTTGCCAATTGCAGATAGACACATTTCGATATACCAGTGGGAGAAAAAGATCGTGGAAGTGATGGGAAGCAAAGATGAGGTTCCATCGGTCTGTTTTCTGTTCCAGTTGCTCTCCTATCAATAGCAACATGTCATTGGGCAGCATCAACTCCATGATAGCACATTCGGACAGCTTCAACTATTTGAGCCAAACGATGTTAAGTCCATTGGAAAAATCACTATGAGATGTTGAATGAGAGAACCATAAAATCAACAGTGATGAATTTCTATTTTCACAGGTTTGGCCACCGGAAGAGTTCTGGAAGATCAAACTTTGATTCGATCCGGCCAATGTTGGGGCGCCATGCTCTCTGGTGGATCGATGTCCGCACATTCTGAGAGGCTGCAAATTGTTCGTTTCCACCTTTAGAAAAAAAAAAAAAAACAAAAACAAAAAATTGAACACTTTTAAAGCCGAAATAATTGCGTAAATTTTGGCGTGTTTTCAGGTTCCAGTTCAGACTAATTATATGAATTGGAGATGCAAGATGATTTTGTTGAGCTCTTGGTAGAATAACCCGAACTTCATGTAGATGAGTGGGCGTGTTTGAGACTAAGAGGCAGAGGTAGGCAGTTGAAGAGCTATTCAGATGCATCAATGTACAGTTATTGCGACGATACCCCATACTGAATAGGGTGTCCGAGAATCGTATCTAGTATGGACAGTTCTCACATCGCTCCAAAGTGATAGACTGAGAACACAAAACCCGACAATGCCAAAGGTGGATCAATCCGTGTGGGTTCGCGGGAGGTGATGGTGGAGCGAGAGACCTGGAGATCAACCTGAAACAGGGGACAATGGACAATTTTGGACTTAACCACGCTTCAAGAGCAAGACCAGTGCAAATTGTCGAAAATCCCAGAGTCTCTCGGACTTAACCACGTTAGGGACATATATTGCACGCAGTTACTCTTCACATGCGACGTCTGGTGTGCTTTGCTAGCTTTGTTAATCAACGGACCGACATCTTTCGGAGATTTCGACGTTCATTTCCCCGGTGCCGCCAGTTTGAAAACTGACCATCGAAACTAGACACGGAGCTTTGAATGGTGTACCATGGATCTGCACAAGCGATGTACTCATCTTTCCAAGATGGAATATAGTCATGGGAACCCTACAGTCATTGCCTTGGTGTAGGAGAGTGGGAAGGATAGGTAGACGTCGTATAGTCAAAACAACATCAAGGAACATGTGGAGGGTAGGAGCTCAGACTGACACTGAACAGGTTCGGTGGTCATATCAACTAATGGCAGCACTTGCGACAGTGGGTGTAGCAGCAGATGTGTCTTGCACGTCCATAACCCACAATTGGAGCGCAGAGGTCACCACAACAATCTCCCAAATTTCCCCCATGGTACCAGTCAACCCAGCACCCATGAAAATGAATCGAAACCCCTTAGTCAGGCTCCAAGAAGCGTTGTGTGCAATGAGAGCAACGATCTCCAACCCATCGCTCGTATACCCCCGATCGCGCTCCTTTTTGCTCCCGCCGACACTGTTCACTGGCCCTGTCAACCGTGCCAATTTCCATCCATAGGAGAGACCGGCAAGTTCTTTGAATTCATTACCATAGCTCTTACGCCACTCGAATTTTTCGCGTGTTGTCCCTTTCGGACCCACGGAGGTTTCGAACGTGTAGCTAGGTGAAGCATGCAACAGCGAACCCCCGGGAATGACCTGTTCCACAATGGCGTCTTCATGTTGAGATCCAGGACGAGGTAGGAGTGTGATTGCGATGGGCCTGCTCCTTCCCCACTTGTCGCCCTGAGCCGTTGCCATGACCGGGTGCTTATTGGTTGGACCATCGTATAACAGAATCGTGGGTTTGTTCTTGAAAACGGTCGCGGGAGTTGACACCGCGAACAGCTTTTCGTCCGCGGTCGGCCCAAGGTGGAAGGTGGTCGTAAATTTCCATTGAAAATATCCATTTATCGCAGGAGGGAATTTGGTCGTTGCAGATGTACTGGTAGATTCAGTATAAGATGGCGTGTCAAGTTGGGGGGCTTGAGTCGCAGTCTGCGGGTCAAGCTCTGTGTAAGGTGGTGGGAAGCCATCGAGTAGATCACTTGGATGTGAAAGAGAAGACGCTAAATCGGTCCATGTGCCCATTATGTGAAATTCGTGGAGAGAACAAAGGAGAAAAAAAGGGTTTGTGGGATGTAGCCCCCCACATTTTGACCCCTAACGCCACAGGTGTCGGATTTCCCGATATGGTTCCTGAATGACTGTGTTAAACCTGACACATCTCCATTGAACGTGAGATTGATCCTCTCTATACATTAGCGTTGGGCTTAGGCAGAACCGAACCTGTCGTCATGCACTGATTTGATGCTAGCTGACCGAAAACTACAAGTTGATGTTTTCTTGCACATGCGCTTGTCGAGGATTGTGCTTTGAGTGGAGACTTCCAAGGTGTTTGTCGTTGCGCTCGTTAGCAGTGGGTTGTTTCTTAGGTGACATCAAGGATCCGTTCCAATGGTTTGTTTCATGGGTAATGCGGCCAGTCATTCAAGAAGTCATAGTCATTATGTAGGCACACACAGGCTAGGAGACAGAGAAATGGAACTCGATTCATGAAAGACTGTCGTTGACAAATGAAAGAAAAATGTGAACTTGGCTTTGCGAGATCAGTTCGTTGACCCTACTACGGAAAAAGCGCTCCATTCACGAGAATTTACAACAATTCTCAGTGATCTCAAACGCCAAACCGCTGGAACGTAGGTCCAACTTGTGCCCCAGTAGCTCATTTTTTCGAAAGCTGAAAAATTTCTCCGGCAAGGAGGGTGGACATATGTATAATGATCAAGGTCAGTACAACTACCAAGGCCCGTGCAGAATTGAGTCATCTTTGTCCGTACGCCGACATTGAGTTGGCATTGTAGCATGGCCTCAGCTGGAATGTCGAGTCAATACGGAGGATTGTACGACGGCTTTCGGTAGGTTTGTTCTTTCACCAATTGTTTCGGAGTATCTATTTCCAGTGGGCATAGCGTGCAACACTGGTCATACTGGACCAGAAACCTAAACCCTCACAAAAGATAAACGCGCCACTGGTCGTGTGCTTGTCAAAGCGAGATACTGCGAAGCTTGGAAGTCTGGAAAGCCAGGCGTAATGGAATAACTCCGGGTAACGTCTGATCTTGTTATACCGAAGTCTCTCACCAAACGATCGTTAGTGCGAGTGACTTGATCTTATGCTGGAAAAGAGGCAATGATAACGATGGAGCTAGAGGAGTGCCATAAGCATAGTGGCGTCAATTATCAGATAGGATTGGGGCAGGGGCAATAAGCTAGCAAATCTCAGGGGGGGGGGGCTTAACTGGCTGGGTAAGAACGTTTCATCGGCCTCATTGTTCAATCCTCCAGCCCCAAACGCAATGTGGCGCTACATCGGTGTGCCAAGATACTAGCTTTAGGGCAATATTGGAGGTTGGCATGGATGTTCAACTCGGAGGAGCCCTTGGACAGGAATGGCTCAGGGGTGGTACCCCAGTCAGTTAGCATTGGCATTTGCTTTCAGGGTATCGTACAAACGATGCATGCTAGTCGGGTCGTACCGTGAACACAAGTGTTTCTTGCTCAGGTAAACAGGTTCCGAGGGCGTTGTCTCATGGATGTGCTGTACTTCCACATCATAACGGGAGAGGCGTGCTGCCAAGGAGAACCGATCGCCATCTGTCTCGCTATGGCGCCCTAATTCAAGACTCTCGTAAAACAAGGTCGCAATCTCGACTTCCACACAAAACGGATGCTGGCTGCCGTTGGAGTGATGCTTGGTTAATGGCTCCTATAGTGGAATTTAAGTTTGGTATCTGCCGATTTCTGCTTCATCGACAAAGAAAGGGAATCCATCGATCTTTCTTCCAAGACCCTTGGAACTAAATAGGCAAATATCCGACATGCGATCATACCATGTGGCTTGAGGCAATAAATGAAGTCACATCCACTAGGGGGTTGACTGTGCGTTTGACCACAACCTTGTTTGATATTTAGTCGATCATTGACTTGATGACTTGGTGATTTGATCGCTTCCATGGCTGACTTTGATAGAGTTTGATATGTTGAATTGGAAAGGTCGCCTTCTCTTGGTGTTTGTTCTAGTCTTTAGTTAATTCAAGAGGAGCAGTCATTCGTACGGTGATTTATAGTCGCAATAACATCTACATTACACGTATTCCGGGGAACCCCTTCCACCGCGTCTCCACCTCCGCGTTTGCCTTTGATATTTTTGGGTTTGGCCTTTCCAGTTTGGGCGTTTGACTGTTTTGCTGTTCAACGGTTTGAAAGGTTTTGTATTTACGTTCAGCTGTGTATCTTTAAAATCCCTCATCCTTGCTCCTTTCTTTCTTTTTCTTTCTTCATCTTTCCTCATCTTTCGTCTGTCTCCATTCCGGAACTTCATCATGGGTTACAAAATAACTAATATCTATTTCATCACCACAGTGGCCGTCATTGGCGGCGCACTGTTCGGTTTTGACATTGCTTCCATGTCCGCCATGTAAGACTTCTTATCCCTTTATGAGAACAGGGTGGGAGTTGATGATCACTGACGATCTCCCACAGTCTCGGCACCCAGCAATACAAATGTTTCTTCAATCAAACTGGCACCAACGAGGACGGCAAGTGCGGTGGCCCCACATCTGCCAATCAGGGTGGTATTTCAGCAGCTATGCCTGGTGGTTCCTGGGTTGGCGCTCTAGCTTCCGGTTTCGTGACTGATTATCTGGGTCGCCGTGGGGCAATCCAGTCTGGCTCGTTGATATGGTGCATCGGTAGTGCCATCGTGTGTTCGTCTTTTGGAATCGCCCAGCTTGTCGTTGGCCGCTTCATCAATGGTGTCTCTGTCGGTATCCTTAGCGCCCAGGTCCCCGTCTATGTTGCCGAGTTAGCCCAGCCCAGTAAACGTGGCCAGGTCGTGGGAGCACAGCAGTGGGCAATTACATGGGGTATCTTGATCATGTTCTACGTCTCGTACGGCTGTAGCTTCCTTGAAGGGACTGCTGCGTGGCGCACTCCATGGGGCTTGCAAATGGTTCCCGCCGCTCTGCTCTTTGGATTGGTCTTCTTATTGCCGGAGAGTCCTCGTTGGTTGGCCAAGCAGGATCGCTGGGATGAGACGCTCGAGGTTTTGGCTTCAGTTCATGCTAAAGGTGATCGGTATGCGCTCTTCGTGCAATCTGAATTACAAGAGATCCGTGAAATGGTCGAGTTTGAGCGCAACAACAAGGATGCCTCATACCTCGACCTTTTCAAGGGTCCTATGCTCTACCGAACGCACCTCGGTATGTTCACTCAGATTTGGTCGCAGCTCACTGGTATGAACGTCATGATGCTTTACATTACCTACGTGTTTGGTATGGCCGGTCTCACTGGAAACTCGAACCTTGTCGCATCTTCAATTCAGTACGTCATCAACGTGGTGATGACCATTCTAGCTTTGCTCTTCATTGATCGTTGGGGCCGTCGAACTCCGCTTTTGGTTGGTTCGACACTTATGATGGTGTTCATGTTTGCCAACGCTGGCATTATGGCATCATACGGCAAGCCAGCTCCACCGGGTGGTCTCAACCATACCCCCGAACAGTCATGGGATCTCTCCGCGGCCCCCAAGGCTGCCAAGGGAGTTATCGCTTGCACTTACCTTTTTGTCGCCAGTTACGCACCGACTTGGGGTCCTGTCAGCTGGATCTACCCTCCTGAGCTTTATCCCCTTCACCTACGTGGCAAGGCTGTCGCACTTTCGACGTCGTCTAACTGGATCTTCAACTTTGCCTTATCCTACTTTGTCCCTCCCGCTTTTGAAAACATCAAATGGAAGGTTTATGTGGTATTTGGAGTCTTTTGCTTTGCAATGACTGTCCATGTCTTCTTCGCCTTCCCAGAAACTGCTGGCAAGACCCTGGAGGAAGTCGAAACTATGTTTACCACCCCAGGCCTTAAGCCCTGGAAGACCTCTGTGCAGTACCAGCAAGTTCGCAGGCTGGAGCAGGGGGCGATTCAATCAGACAAGTTGGCCGATCTTCGCGCAGAAGAAGGAACCGCCGAGGCTCCGAAGTCCATTGAAAAAGAGACCACCGTTTTGCAAGTTGAATAGGTATGCGGCCTCAACCCCACGGTACAGCTCGTACCAGAGCCAGCAACTTGCCATCAAATGTCCCTTTTGATTGCCTGTACGAATGCACGCCTTTCCACTTGGATGGGTAGCTTTTTGTCCCTCTTGAAGTGGTTCCCCATTACCCCACAATAGTCTCTAACCATGACTTACTTAATTGCAAAATACCAACGGGATCCCTTTTGCTTTTGCTTGTGTTCAAAATGTAATTTATTTTAGCCAAGGTCGACTAAACGGTGAATTGAGTCCTGTTAAATTGGGCATGGGCCTTGATGGTTACATAGCTTTGGAAGACCACTCTTGGGCATCAACAGCTAGAGGGTGAGCAAGCTCCGATCGGGTTTGACCATGAATATTACCCAGGTTGTATTGAGTTCCGAAAAAAAAAGGAAAAACAAAAGAAAAAGAGGGATCTCACCAGCAATCCGTCTCCTTTTCCCAGCTTCCGGTCACAAGTGTAGTTGAGCGGACAGGCACCTCTATCTTCCGCTTCATAGAATGTGATTGCAGAAGGATCAGTGACTGCGATGAGCTAGCCATAGCTTCGTATTCAGGGGTCGACCTGACAAATTTAAAGAACGTCGAGGTTAAACAGGGACCTTAGGGGACGATGAGATCATTCGTACTTTCACGGTTCTTCACTTCGCGCCCCTCTGACTTGTTCAGTTCACTGTTTGGGGGTATTCATAATCAGATCCGTAATAGCTAAGTCACATCGTCCTCTTTTAAGATGTACATTCATACGGAATTCACAACAGAACAGGATTCATAAAAAAAGGATGTTGACATAAAAGACGACTTGGGCATGAGGTGGTAGAAGAACCAAGTCCTGCTGTGGACTTTCCAAGGCTATCTTGGCATTTGCTCATCGTCATCTAAACCGGGGCAATGCTCGCTGGTTTCCGATGTGATACTTTTGTAAGGGCCTGAGAGGGTCCAAATGATGTCGAATCTGTATGAATGTTAGAGAAGTCGAGCGAAAGCTATGACACGAGGATTGAAAACTGACCGATCGTCCGGATAAAACGGTGCATTCTCGACTCCCAGTGCCTCGGCAATATCCGTCAGTGCAACGTGCTCCCAGCAAATCAGTATATTAACCAAGCCTTTTCCATCGTATCCCCTAACCACATCATTCACACAATCTGGGTCATCCCGACCGCAAGACGTATCAACAGTGAGGCCGAGATCTTTAGCCAGCGGCTCAACGGTGTCATACGGACGGGCTCGTTTGCCATCTATGCCGATCACGTTAACCCGTGGTTCTTGTCTACAACACTGTGCACCACAGCCGGACAGAGACAGGGTATGATCATACTGCTCTTAGGCGTTTCCGCCATGATGTGGGTGATGTTATACTCGGAATTCTTGCCGAAAACCTCGCGAAGACATTGTGCGCGTTCGAGTCCTTGTGCACTCAATCCATTTCCTCCATCGCTGGGTTTCTCTCCGTGTCGAATGAGGTAAACTGTGGGATCGCGTGCTGCTGCCAATGAGGCAATGGCCAGTAGACTGACAGGCAAAAATCCGAGCATGATGCCGGGTTACTAGGGAACGGTAGAGAGCAACGTTATTCCCACACTAACCTTGGGAGTAACACATTTATAAATGGCATAGTCTAATCCCACGCTATTCTAACAGCACTTGGCCAACCATTTTCGTTGTCAACATCCCATGAGACGTTTCCGGGCTGCGATTGGACGGTGGTTGGGGCTGGGCCTTGTAGGGTGAAATGGGCCCGCATGGCCCCGAGATTTGAGCCAATGCTAGGACAGTCAGAGTAGCATCGAACTGATAGTTCTTCACTTCCCTACTGTAAAGGGAAATTCCTATTTTATTTCTTGCATCCTATATGCAATGCAACGGAAATACAAGCAACATCATGCCAGAATGGGGCCTTGCAGTCCGCTCACCCCCGCCTTCCGCTCCCAGTTTCCTTTGAAAACTGCAGCACATCCGTTTATATCCGGGTTTGGGACTTTCTCCATTTGAGAACGCGAGGGCTTTACAAAGAATTTTGTTTTCTTCCTACTAGCTGCAAGTTTGGTCCACACTTAGAGTACCCGGCACGCAGAAAGGATTTAAGAAACACCCAAGCTGAAGAGACCTGGTAAAATGCATGAGAAGATAAGAAGTATGTGGTCTCCTCCTAAACTGATAATGGGACTCACATCCCTAGAAGCACTGGCTTGATTTCACCGTGGGAAACACTGCACTCTGGCAGCTAGGAGTAAGGTAGATCTATCAGTGACGTTTGGTAGTTTTAAGCCAGATGTACTGCTTAAAGTGTAAAGAGGGAAAATTAGGGATATTATAGAGGTAGCAAAGCCTTACTGTCATTACTGGCTTGTGAGATTTAAAGCAGAACGAAGTAATTACAATCTACCCAAAACTTTTGCCAAAGATGATCTGGAAGAAGTTGCAACTTTCTCACCAGGAGAAAAGGGGAGAAAAGGGAAGAAAAAGTGATTGAAAAAGGAACTAGAATAGAAAGAGTCAAATCAAAAGGGCTACATGTGTTGCAGTACGTACCGGATTCTAGGCCGCGGATGGGAATTCTCCGATGGAGTGGGGGGGGGGGGCTACCGCTTCATAAGGGTGTCCAGAGTCTTCTCACTACCTCAAAGCAAAGGGTAGTTACTCAGTGGCTACTTGGGAATTTGATTGTCCTTAGCAAGTAGTTAGATGAAATTTACCTAACCAGTGATGACTAGGGTATAGTTGGTAATGCCAAATTTCGGTGAGTACTCAGGTCAGTTAAGTGAACGCGTATAGATAGAACTCAGGTGGTCCTCACTGAGTTCGCATTGTTTAAGTCTCCATATCCAAGAAATTTGCCACATGCAGAACGGCTTCCTGCGGCTTAGGAATTAAAAGTCATCCAATGATTCCAACTTGTAAGCTAGGACAATCTTTTTCCCAAACGTTGCGGCCGTACGATAGGATAGATTTCTATCCTCATTGCTGGAGGCTACGCAATAATAAAACATCATCCTTATATCATAACGGCGAATAAATCGTCACAGGATGTAGTGACGGATAGATGATATGAGACGACCCGCTCTTGATTGTCACCCCATTTAAAGAGAAGGATCAGTCGTTGTAGACAGATCTGAACGTTATTAAACGATCACTTACCTAGACCAACATGCCTACAGAAGAAAGACTCAATGAGATGCGTGGGTACAAGGCGTAAGTATTATATTCCGGACCATGGAGCTTCACGAGCGCATCTGAAACCCTAAGCCTATCGTTCACAGCTCGCTGAGCAACCCAAACGTTTCAGAAGAGGCAAAGCAGAATGCAAAAGCTATGCTTGAGGATCTCGGCGGTGATCAGCCTCGCAAGGAATTACATCAGGCAAGAGGCGATCAAAACAAAAACCCAACGAGAGTCTCAGCTGGGCTTAAAGCGTGAGCATGACATCAATAGAAGATTTGTCAGTAACTGATGATTGGCCTATGTAGGGCGCAACAAAATCCTAACGTGACGGAGGCCGGGAAGCAGAGAGCTGCTGAGAAGATGGAGCAGAGAAGTGCCCCGGAGGAGTAGACGCCTGTGTGGTTACTTGTAATATACTTGTTGGAAGGTACACGGGCGCGGCACTTGAAGATATCTCCAATTGGACACATAAACGAACCCATAGTATTAGACTCATCGTGTAACTACTCTTTCCATCAAACCCCAGTTATTTCCATTACCCGACTTGCGTTGGTTCTTAATCTAATCTACTAGCCTGTAGATTCAAACTGCGTATGAGCCCAGAAATTCCCTGCTGACGTATCACAGTGGATACGTCAAGCTTGATACGACCTGCCTATATGATCCAAGTCTTCGTCCAGAAGATTGGCACTATTATCGGAGACCTTCCTCATCTCTATTCCAACCCAACTTCTTAGGCGTTTGAATCTCTCAGTGGGTCAAATGCTCCATCGTGCTACTAGCCTGGCCTCTTTCTCTCCTTCAAACTCTGTACGGCAATACATTTTGTACCTTTATAATCTCATCTACTAGATCGCAGATCTTAACATCAGGGGAACCAGGATTCAAACAGTTATCTGCGACTTCACTTTCACACCACAATTCAGCCTATTCAGCAACCTTGACAAACACGTCTTTCAGTCTCTCGGCTCTAGGATATGAAGCTAACTATTCTAGAAGTCCTAGCAAATAGTGGTCACACGACCACACTTCACGCAATTAACCAACATGTTTATTGACACCAAACAGATAGAATCCAGCCATTACTAACGGCAGATCTTGGCATCCGAGTTTGAGAGCACCGAAATATATACTCTAACGAGTACCACGCACCAGATACGTTGTTATCTTACCACATAAAAGAAACCCATGCAGTTGCATAGTGATTATGCGGGACCGTATCACCTATCGAATGATGATGATGATGATGAATTCATTGACCCGATTGAGCTCGCTTTACATATATGCTGCTATGCGGGGGTTGCGTCCCAGAGCCCGCTCCCGACGATAAATGGTGGTGCATTAT